CAAAGTTGTCACAAAACAAGTAATGTGCAACCTAATATTAAGCTTATTTATTTTAGAAATAAAAAAAGTATTTTTTATAATAATTTAAGCTAAAACTTAGATAAAAATGGTAATACAAATGCTTTAGTGTGATGGTGACACAACATCCATACATATGAACCAAATTATATGACTCATAACTTTCACATGAGAATTGCACATTAAATCTACAAGTACAATAGTGCACCACTCCAACAAAAGGTTTGGTGCATGATATCCTTTTTGAATCACGTAATTCTTTGAATACAATAGAATAAAAAGGTAAATTAATTACCTTATATTGATAAATTATCATGTATGAATTGTAATTTGTTGGTAGTATATATACTAACCCTTGGGAGAATCTTATGTTAGTTAAAGACTGATGATAAGAAAAATTATTTCTTTTTCTTATATCCAATAAATTATTACACTTACATTGTGCAGAAGGAAATATAATTGCATTAAAATTAAAACTAAATAAAAATATATACAAAATCATGAAGAACTACAATACTTGTAAAGTAACAATAAATAACTAATTTTAATGTCTAATTTTCATTATTGTACACACTATAAAAATAGAAATTAATATTTAACTAAACAATTGACACCAACATTGAACCTAAACCCATTACGGAAAAAAATTCTTATATTGTTCAATGTGTATTCACTATGAATCAAGTACTATATCAAATTCCAAGCTTTCATATTGAAAGCTGATACTCAAATATTCTATAACTAATAAGTTATTATTTGATTTTTACTTGAAAGTTTTGTATAGTATTAATTTTAGTGAGATATTGTTAAATATATGAACTAAATTTACTCAAGTTGGCTTAGTGTTCAATCTAGAAATTAGAGCTAGTCAGATTTGGCCCAACTTAGCTAGAGTCATGAATAGAAGATTAAATAATTTGAGCCCTTCATGAATAAAAAATTAAACTTTTCTTACATCCCTCACAAAACCAAAAATGTGCACATAATTAAGGAGAAGGAAAGCATCTTATGAAACCAAAAGAATCTGGTCAACCATATTGAGACCCATTATTTTATAGTAAGAGTCACCCTTAATCAAAATATATCTTCCTCATTAAAAGACAAGGGTATATGTTTGTTGTTGACACATCAAGATCATCATAGTGCAAACAAGTACAATAAGACCTCAATTATCTTACTAAAACCACAATCTAGGTTAGTGGTACATAAAAATCTATTTATGAAGAGAAAATTTTTGAATTATCAATACACTTTGAAATATTTAAGTGGTCTAAGTATTATGCTAATCCCCTTCCACAATAAAATAAATATCATAGAATCTTGTCACAAAGAATCCTTTGTATGCTAGCAAGACTACGAAGAGGACAAGGTCTAGCTAACGATTAAGATACAGAAAATAGTTTGTTGGGAATTAAAAGATCAAGTACTCATTTAGGAGGCCTTGAGATGACACGCAAAAATTGACCTAATTAAGGATTCTAATGTATAATTTTTCCTCTGTTTGGTGTAAAAAAAATTATAATCAAGTTACACCATCAAGCATGCAAAAGATTACCCATATAAATTGTAAATGTGCTCAAACATATGATAGGTTTCAAAGAGAGGTAGAATAGTAGTGAAAAGAGGTGGTTAAATGACAAGTTAAATATTTAAATCATGTTAAAATAAATCAAACCATGCTACTTTTGAGAATATGGAAGGGGTTACATAAAATGTGGAAAGAAAAATATGAAGCATGTCAATGTTCAATAATATTAATTATGCTCTAAATGCTCTTGCGAATAGTATATAAATAAAAACCATGATAAATTTATCACTCTCTATAATTCATGTTTGTGTAAAAGTTGGACAATTTGATGTATGTTTGACTAAGAACTTGAGTTATATTATGATGGTGAAGAACTTCGCAGCCCAAGTACTCATCAAGTCAACATCAAAAATGATGTTGACATGATAGTAGATAACTTCATTATCATGTGCTACAGATTTTATCATACATGCCAAAAAGGTAATGCACTTCCATTGACATGTGATATCCATCACAAATTATTAATGTTAGTGATCATCTCTAGTACTATGCTTTCAGAAAAGACAACATAAAAGACATTGTCTATATTCTTGGAAAAATTATTAAGCTAATTAGAAGATGTGATGAAAGTGAAAAATATTTGGAGGTCTTATTTCAAAATACAACAAAGATAATATTAAGAATATAGTCATACCAATTTACTTTGAAGAAATTGATAATCTAGAGTAGGTATTTCACATCAAATGTGGAGGAATTGATTAACTACATGGAAGAGGCTACACTCTATACTCCCCAATGTAAATTGAAGAATTAGAAAAACCTAATATAGAGTTATTTGAATCATATCATGTTATTTTCATTATTAATGCCTCAAATATTTTTTATGTTGATGAATAATATTTATCGGCAAAGGTAAGCATCTATTTGAATGGCATCATAGTTATATAAAGTTAGATCCAAGCATAAAGAAAATGAACTTATATACAGCCCTATTATTCTACATGTTTTATTCTTTTCAATAACTAGTTTTTCGACTAATAATGTTAGAATAATTTTCAGCAATTAAATTGTACAATTTCTATTAATCTTCATAATTAACTTTGTTCTCATTAAAGGAGTTATAGAAATGTGGCAATAATATGTCAACAATAACTGTAAAAGTATCCATGTAGAGTTAAATAAAATAATTGAAATACAATTCCTATAACTATAATAAGTACTCAACTCGAAGATGATCTATTTGCAAAGCTTCCCTCTAAATTATGAATATTTGAGAACATCCATTTTGCACTTAGGTGTCTATAACACCATTTTCAATAAGTATAGGAGAAGACCTGCATGTTATGAGACAATTTTAATCTCTACTAGTGGATTAGTTAGTAGTACATAATTAGTCATTTAAAATGAGACACATTATGATTCATCCAGACCTTAATCATACTCCTCTTTTCAACCCCTTTTTCAGAATTTACCCAATTGCCAAGTTCCAAATTTAGCTTAGTCATGGCAATAATTTAGTTTTACACAAAAACTATAATATTAGAAATCTGAGCACTCTAACATGCGTGGACCATCTAAGTTCCTTCAATTAGACTCTTATGAACTGTAGCACTCTAAGCCCTTGTGTGTGTGTGTGTGTGTGTGTGTGTGTGTGTGTGTGTGAGAGAGAGAGAGAGAGAGAGAGAGAGAGAGAGAGAGAGATTCTGCACCTATTAAAAATGTTAATGGGCCAGGCCATATCCAAGTGATTAGATAAATGAGCCATCAGCTACCGGGCTGGGCTCAATTATAAGCCCAGGCCCAGCCCAAATAGAAAAGTATGAGAGAGCGAGAGAGAGAGAGAGAGAGAGATTAGGTGATAAATGTATGACTAGAAGAAATGAGTTATGTGTATCCTAAATAAGGCAAAACTCAACGGCAACTGATGGGCCTCAATAAACTGCTATGGGCCTCTCCATAAGTCTTTCTTTAAGACTTTTTGACTTTGAAATCGAAGCCCAAGTAAAACGAGTTGCATCATTCGCCAAAACCTATTTTATCCAGCCCAAAGAACCTCACATTAATGATAAATAACGAGCGGGTTGACTTAGCATTCCGAGAGACAACCAACCTACACGTGACTGAATGTGGTTTGGCGTTGACAGGACGAGAAAAATATACACAGCAAAGTCAAAGCTCATGCCCACATCCTAATGAGTGGCTGAAAGGGAAGCGCTGATAATTAGCCCTCCTGATTCTTGTGGCTGGAACTCCCGTTTCAATTCGCGTGGGCCCCGCCATTTGATGAGTCACCATATGTTGGATGGAAGGTGTAGGGCCGGTGCTCCACGTGCAATTAATTTAATTTACTGATCTACCATTGAATGGCGCAATTTTGGGATGGGCCCCTGACCGTCCCTATGTATTTTTCTTTAAATCCCCATGAAAGGAACACTTTTAAATCCTCCGTATACTTCTTGTATTTAAACATATGGGCTGCTATAGAAACCCGTTAGGCCCGTTAGGCCCCACCAGTCTCATCCCTCTCCATTATCTTCCCTCTAGAGAGAGAGAGAGAGAGAGAGAGAGAGAGAGAGAGAGAGAGAGAGAGAGAGAGAGAGAGACAGAGACAGAGACAGAGAAAGAGAGAAAGAGAGAAAGAGAGAGAGAGAGCAGTCACCTCCCATAAACGCCAAAATTGGTATGATTTAGAAGATAAAAAGAGACAGAGACAAGGGATAGAGAGAGAAACCCTTTGTCAGCTAGTGGATGGAGAGGGATATATATAAAAGTATCCCATGACATATCGCCGGAAATTTTTAATGTGAAGATTCGAAAGAAAAGGCCATTTTTAAAAATTCAGAATTACGGACACCATTTTGTAATTTAGTGAGAATTATGAGGGCTTTATGAGATCCTTCTCTCTCTCTCTCTCTCTCTCTCTCTCTCTCTCTCTCTAGCTCTCTCTCTCTCTCCTCCAAATAGTATCTTAATGAGTGGTCAGGAAAAAAATGCTATAATCCGACGCAGGTATCATCCAAATAATCAATGTTATATGGTTAAAATGTAAAATAACAAATGTCCAATGGTTGAGCTTTTAATATGTGGATTTGAAGAAAAAGGTACTTTTATTAATTTATATGTGTGAGGACTATTATGTCATTAAGTGAAAAATGCAAGGTGTATTTTGGAAAGTAAAAAGCTTGTCACTGGAGGGTGAGATAAGCTTCTAACCGGAAAGTTGCATCCGTTAACAGGAGAGAGCAGGCTTCCTCAGGTGGAGGAGAAGCGGCCTCACATAGCTCTTCTCGGCGGCGGCGGCGGCGGCGGCGATCGGTGGTGGTGGTGGTCCTCGACGGTGGAGGCGGCGCCGCCCCTCCGGTACATCTGCATGCTCGCGAAATTCTTGATCATTGGTTCTCTTCCATCCCCTCCTTGCGGATTCTCGCCCTAGTCGTGGAGCGGGGCTGGAGATATGACGGCGGCGAGAAAGGCGGCGGAGGCCGCCGGAAAGGCAGTCCAGGAGGAGGTTCGGCGGTGGGGGGGCATGAAGCAAACGGGGGTGAGCCTGCGCTACATGATGGAGTTCGGCTCCCGGCCGACCGACCGCAACCTGCTTCTGTCGGCGCAGTTCCTGCACAAGGAGCTACCCATCCGCATCGCTCGCCGCGCGATCGAGCTCGAGAGCCTGCCCTTTGGCCTCTCCGAGAAGCCGGCAGTCCTCAAGGTGTGCTGCTGCTAGAATCTCCCGGAGATCCTCATCTCGTCCCCCCTGTGCATTTGATTCTCCAGTGTCCTTGAGTTTTCCGCTGGCTCTCTGGTTGGTTTTATAATTATCAAGAGTTAATTTATGAGTCTGATCTGCCAAATTTTTGCGTGCATGTGGAGGTCTCTTGACATTTTTCCACATGATTTTCGTCCTGGTGATTGAATTGGCTTCGTAATTTCTTGGAATCATCTCTTAATATGGAAGCCCCCGAGAGCCGTCATGACGAGTCTTAGATCGGGTTCCTACGCCCTTTCAACGTCCCCCCTTTCTTTCTTTTTTTCTGCTATCGTTCTTACGTAGATGTTGAGTTCTAGAACTTTTCATGGCGAACGCTGCAGGGTTTTTCGATTACGAATTGAATTTGCTTCCTGGAAATGGAGATAATGAAATTAATTCAGCCTATGATTCATCATTGGCCGCATGAACCCGGCTTACTCCTCTTCATTCTGCCTTTGATGCCTGAAGGTGAGGGACTGGTACCTGGACTCCTTCCGCGATCTCCGATCCTTTCCAGAGATAAAAGGCAATGGTGACGAGCTGGCTTTCACGAAGATGATCAAGATGATCAAGGTGAGGCACAACAACGTGGTGCCCGCCATGGCGCTGGGTGTTCAGCAGCTGAAGAAGGATCTGAACCCTAAGGTTGCCCGCAGCGATCTTGAAGAAATTCACGAATTTCTTGATCGGTTTTACATGTCCAGAATCGGGATCCGTATGCTTATAGGTCAGTCAACGTTTTCTTCCTCTGCCCATAAACTCTGGTGGGATCGCCAGATCATCGACGTAGAGCCTTTGCATGGATTTTATTGTCTGATGTGATCTTGAACGTGGATTTATGACCTGGATCTGAGACGACCTGAGTCAAGATGACTTGCTACTGAGTCACCACAGTCTGACTCGATTTTTGTACTTGCCCTCACAAGCGCTCCTTGGGTTTTCATGGCATTGATCTTATGTGTTGAGATCATCCCAATCTTACTCATATAAAGTTTTTGATTTGGAACATATAGTTTTATGATTTTTTTCGAACGTGGGTATGAAAAAGTCTGATTTCATCTGGTTTGACTTATTATTAGTCGCAACAGAGTTAATGCAATCTAGTCTCGTTCTTCAACTATTCGAATCAGGATGAGTACAGTTTTTAAAAAAAAACCTTGTGAAATTACACTGTTCTAAGGTTATGCTTTGAACATGGGAGTGTATAAGTCTGTCAGATTTCAGCTTGTTTGAGCTTACTGTGAGTCACAACCGAGTTCAATGCAGTTCAACTAGTTCTTCACATTCTCGAGTCAGATCAGTATCAGTACATTCTTGTGTGGCGTCTGACCAAATCTCATATACGCATGGATCTATATATAAGTATGATTTCAGCTGATCTGTCTGACGATGAGTCACAACCTGAGTCAACTCATTCGAAAATAATTCTCCGACTATTTGAGTTTGATTCGTGTGACCAGTCAAAGATCATACTTTCTTTGGAAAACGCAGGGCAGCACGTCGCACTGCATGATCTTAATCCAGAGCCTGGCTGCATTGGCCAAATAAACACCAAGATGTCGCCCATTGCTGTTGCTCATGCTGCAAGTGAGGATGCCAGGTTCATCTGCATGCGCCAGTACGGGTGTGCCCCCGATGTCACCATCTATGGAGATCCAGACTTCACCTTCCCGTGAGTTTTCCCCCTGATATTCACCTTCCTGCGAGGTTTTTTATTTCTTACGTTTTCCTAATTGGGTTTTTTCATAATATTTTATTTCCTTTCCCTAAGCTAGCAATTATTATTAATCTATTTGTATTAATGATTCTCTCTTTCTCTCCATTCCAGGTACGTTCCTTCTCATTTGCATCTCATGGTGTTTGAGCTAGTGAAGAACTCCCTGCGTGCAGTTCAGGAACGATACATGAATTCTGATAAGGATGCGCCTCCAGTTAGGATTATAGTCGCTGATGGCATAGAAGATGTCACAATAAAGGTTCACTTTTTTTTCACCCTAATCATCTGGTAGCAATATTTCATGGTAGAAATAATCTTTATTCCAACTTGTAATAACATCCATTTATGGTAAAACTTCATGGGCTAAATTTTTCAGGGGATTATTTTCTCATATGAATCGTGAATTCATGATTTGAAATTTTGTATTTCTGCCGAAAACTAGAATCATGAATGAACTTGGTAATCTATTCCAATAGTGATTCGTCCTGAGAAACAACATTTATTTCCTATTTTAACCCCATGGAAATTTATTATGCCAATTTTTTTTATTTGCAGAGAATATTGCAGATAAGATAAATATGCTGAACTTTTGGTTTCTATTGAACATAAATTTAATTTGAATGCAGATCTCAGACGAAGGCGGAGGTATTCCGAGAAGTGGGCTTCCTAAGATCTTCACATATCTTTACAGCACAGCGAAAGACCCGGTGGATGAGGATTCCAACACTGGGAGTTCAATAATTATGGCAGGCTATGGCTGCGGGCTTCCCATCAGCCGTCTCTATGCCCGGTATTTTGGGGGCGATCTGCAGATCATCTCCATGGAAGGATACGGTGCGTAGAACTTACCAGAAATAGATACATATCTCAGCATTCATATAAGCCTGTTAATTGATTACATGAAGATCAACATGTTCTGATGATTCTCAAGCTTCGGATTCATAGTTTTGAGCGAGCTCAAGAAAAATAAATAAATAAATACTTTCAGAGTAAAAAAACTGGAACCCAGAGGAAAACTATATTCTCAATAAAGTCAAGAAAAAATAGGTTTATTCAGTTCAAGAATGCAAAAATTATGGTGATGGATATTCAGGATTTGCGATGTTTTGGGATTTTTGTGCCGACTGTGGTTCATCATAATGGTACAAGCCGTAAATATCGGATGCTAGTAGGCCCACCACACCCCTGGCCTGGCCCGGGCCCACCAGGATATTCAGTGATGAGTGTGGGCTTATCTTGTATTGTTGTGTCATAGAATCACATGCTGGTAGCCCACTTTCCGGGCTTTTTCTGCGGGCCCGGCCCGTTTTTATCCATCCTGATTATTTAAACACCACTCATCCTTGCAGGAACTGATGCCTACCTTCACTTGTCCCGGCTGGGGGACTCGCAAGAGCCACTCCCATGATTCAGCTTAGGCCTTGGGGTGGGGCCTTCTCACTTGCTACCCACGGATTGGTTGTTACGATTTCTCAATTTGTGTACTTATTGCACTACCCCTTGTATCATAGAAGCTAATGATGGTTTCAATGACTAACCTCTCTCTCTCTCTCTATCTCTCTCTCTCTCTCTTGCTACATAGTCCAATAGGGCCAAGTACCATGACCAAAGAGTGGAGGTGGCAAAGGGCATATATGGGCAATGAGAAGCTGATGATGGTTTCAATGACTAACCTCTCTCTCTCTCTATCTCTCTCTCTCTCTCTCTCTCTCTCTCTCTCTCTCTCTCTCTCTCTCAAAGGAGGAAAAGGGCTCAATGTAAAGTACGTCAGTCTTTCCAAAAAAGAACTACCGGATTTAACGATGGTTAAATCATTTACTATTGACAGCAAGTGTCAGAGTGTAACGAAGGAACTAATTCATCGTTTTTTCAGGAAATTTACAAGGACTTGTAAGCAGCCGAGTTGAAATAATATAAACTTGTCCGAAAATCAAGTGATATGCATGGATGGATCTATACTAATTAGGCCCATTTAAAATAGTTTTTTTATTTTTTTAAATAGCGGATCATGCAGTTCATTGACATCAATAGTAAAAGAGGGCAAGGCAATCAAATGAAATCATCAAAGGATTTTGGTAAAACTAGCAACGAAATATCTTCAAAATGATGCCTTCATTTTTTTTTCTTTTCATATTTCTCACAAAATACCAAAATACTAAAGGATCATGCAATACGTACCTTATCCAAACAATGTCACCAATAACACATTAAATTGATATCTCGAGATTACACATTGCACAAGCCCCATATAATAATTTTTGGATCTAAACAAGCAGATCCATAAAAAGCACTAGGAGAATGTTAACAACCCCAAAGTCTGACTAAATAATCTTAAAACATACCATCTTAAAACCACATCTAATCAGCCACAGAGGTCAATAATCTCTCATGCAAAAGTTAGCATATAAATAATCTCGATTTCAGACGTACCTTCCACAGTGAAAACTATGAATCCAAGAGTTAGTGATTGCTGGTGTTTGTAAATTTCAGGAGAGAGATAGACCCAGCTCCATCAGAGTGATAAACGAGGAAGAATCTCTAAAGATTGGATGGTCCCATAAAAAACTACAAAATGATGTAAATCCCATTTCGAGATTTTTACAGATGATCAAGCAGGCCCTGTATCCACTCTCCTCTGGTGCTCCAGGAAAGAGGAGGTAGGGGGCTGGGGAGAGAGAGAGAGAGAGTAAGAGAGAGAGAGAGAGAGAGAGAGAATGTCTCATTCTTCCATTTGATCCTCTGCTTGTGCTGGCTGGACGACTTTAACCTTGAGCTTGGGGAGGGTGAGAGAGGGATCCTCTTTGAGTGCAATGGGAGCCTTCACCATGTGGATGCTCTGCTCCAGCTCCTTCACTGCTGCCTTCATCTCAGAGACCTTATTGCCCTTCATCCTGCAATACGAGCCACAAAGAGAAGAAGTAAATAGAAGAATATCGAAGGGCATATCAATCACCGACAAAGAGAAATCGGAACAATTTAATGGAGAACCACGAAGTAAAATAAGATTATATAACCGTGGGCTTCTTTGACCGGATGAAAACATACTGCACTAGTAAATAAATAAATAATAATAATAACAAAGGACAACTGAGGTGAACCTCTGGGCGTGGTGTCTGGCTTCTCTAGCCACTCTGACTTTGTCAATCTTCTTTATGGCCTTGAGTGTGTTTTCGGCAACATTCCTGTCATATCTCTCAGGTCTGTTTCGTTTTCTTTCCAACTCAAAAGTAGAGTCCTGGAAGAGGAGAGAAAAAAGGGAAAAAGACAGGCTTACATATCTAATTGATAGGGAAATAAATGAAAGCCAGCGAGTCCGCTGATCACATTCAAAATGACTTTATTGTTACCTGTGTCATATCCTTTCCATGAACCCTTCTGTAAGCTTTTGTCCACTTAACCTTGCGTGGATTTCTCTTCATCTTGAAGTTCTTGTGGCATTTGGATCTACAGAATCGAAATATCTGCGGAAATATCAACACTAGTGAATACTTTTACCTTTTAAAAATGGTCATTTTATAAAGTAGACACATAAATATCTACGATAAGATCCTAAATAAGAAAATGTTAAACTATTGGAAAGCAACCTAATATCATTCATTACCCGAGATAATAGGAGAAACGGATCAACCAGACAATAATAACAAAAGCTGGTTTTACCCACTTTGCCCTCCAAAGAGGATAATAATTGCTACTTCCTTGCAAGGGAAAATTAACTTATAATAACTGAGGCGAACATTCATAGAATTTGACAGCATTTCTTTGCAAGGAGTTTTGCAAGTATTCCGAATAATGAAGGATTAGTGATACATTGTCTCTGAAATCATCTTTGATAATTCTTCATTGGCGTGTAGATGCATGCACTGTAACCCAATCTTAAATAACACTAATAAGAATCTTTCAGAAAATGATGAGTACTTCACACATTTTACATGATACAGGAAATTGAGGTCTGCAACGGATGAGATACAGCATGGCTAGTGGAAGCAGATGAAGTAAATGTGCAATAATCGAGAGGAACAATACCTTGGCATCATTACGAACAAATTGTATGCCATGCCCAGGGTAAATGCTCGAAGAGCAAAACCAACACTTTTCTATCCTCATCCTTCCTCAAGCTCAGGGAACGATAATTTACTGTCGAACACGAAGGATAAATTAATTCATTCTCAAGCCAAAAAAATAACAATGGACTGATCGGTTATAACTCGCAGGGATCTCATCAATACACAGGAGGAGGAAGCATCCAGGCTGAATGCGGTAAGGCTGGAACTTCTAGGGATGGAGAAAGACGAAAAATCTAGAGTTTTAGGGAAATGAAGAAGATAACAGGAAAAAGATGACGGTCAAAAGCAACGCAAACAGCACTTATAAGCAGAAGAATCCCAGTGCACAGAGAAAAACATCAGCAGCAGACAGCGATTACATGTTTAATGAAGCCAAAACATAACGTATGGAAAAAAAACCCGTCTACGACGGATTCCAAAAACTTTCGCAAATCCTCAAACTGAACGCATCCTGAAGACGCAGCAGCAGAACCCAAAAGGATCGAGCAAACCTGAATAATCCAGTATCTGTAGTATCTTCTGATCAGACGACGGACCGGAGGCGCGAAGCAGAAGATAGAACAGAAATAAAAAAAGCCAATTATTAACAGAAATCAAGCATAAGAGCCAATTCTCAGCTCCCCCGCCCGCCGATATCCTGCAGAGAAACCGCAACACAAACAGAGAGAACAGAGAACTAGCAACACATTCGTACCTCCCTGGTGGCGCTGACGACCTGACGGAGAGGGGCGGAGCGGCGGAGCGCCGCCGACCAGGCGGGAGAGAAAGGGACGGCAGAAGAGGGAGGGCGGCGGAGACGCTGCGGGTTAGGGCAAGTAGGTCGTATTGACGGGATATCGGATTCTTAACGGGCCCCATTTCGAAACTCCCTCCCTTCTTCCCACCGACCGTCCCCACGTGCGGATCAGCCCGTCTCAAAAAAAATTAACTGAAATTATTAGCAGATTATAAACTACGCTCGAATTTTCCGCCCATTAAAATATATTTAAATTTATTCTCTTAATTTCTAATTGGATCCATTCATGAACCGCTCCTCCTCTCGACAACCACAAATATTTACTTTTTTAGTATCTTAAATGGACTATATTTATTGATTTTTATCATATTATATTCAGCCCTCTAGTTTTTGCCATCTGTTCAACTATTTTTAAAATTTAAATAAATATTAACTTTTATATTTACTTACAATATTAACTAAGGCCCAATTTCATCTTAATTAATTAATATTTAAGAAAAAGTCAAGGTTTTATATATGAGTCCACCTTATCACGTTGACTACGAAGCAATGCTTTGACTGTGTTCATACATATTATGGCATCATGGTTTGTAGAGGTAGTTAATATGTTCTAATAAAAAAACATTATTCGAGGCAAATTCAGAGGAGTGAGCATGGTTTTGACTTGAAGATTCTACAGGAATTAACTATCGCCATATTTTATTAAAAAATCAATTATTTTTATATCACTATGTTTAGTTTCTCAAAATAAAAGGGTGAGGAGTAAACATATTCATTGAGTAGAGGGCTTATTCGTAATATATTACCTGCGATCCTCCCTCCTCTCCTCACCGGTGGGGTTTCTCTCGGAGCTCCACCCAGAGATGTACTGCTGCGGCGGCGTCGCCCGGCGCCCCACCGGACCTCCGCTGATCGCCGGAATCTCTAGGGGATGGTCTCGATGCTCAAGCTCCACTCATGGATGCAATGTCGAGGTGAGAATTCTTTCCTCTATTTCCTCTCCGTCGACCACAGAGGAATGCAGCGGCCGCCGCATTTACTTCTCCCAACCTGGGAAGGATGCTCCGGCGAGTGGTTTGGTTTTCCAGAAGCCTTGGATGAGTGCGGCAAGGTGTTTCTCCGGTGACTCTGGTCCGAAGGTGCTTGGAACTTCGGCCGCTAAAACCCTAGTAAAGGGGGAGGTTTTGGGGAACTTCAGGGTTTTCTCCCATGGAGCTCGATCGAAGCAACTGGGAAATGCGTGTTTCTCGAGGCTTCGACATCTATCTACGGGAACGCATCAGAAATCTGCTGGCGACCGTCCGCGGTTTGCGGCCTGCGCTGACAGAGGATTTAGAAGATCTAAGAAAGTGGCAGGAGAGAGGAATGTCAGCAGCTCATGGGAGGCTTCGGCCGACAGCTATTTCTCGAGAGCCAGTGAGACGCCTGCGGCAGACGCCTGGAGGAATCGAGATGGGAAGATAAATGTACGAGATTCCAGAAGAAGAAGCCCGATGGAGGAGCGAAGATCTGAAAGGGAATCGCCACAAGAGGAAGAATCAGAACCAATTGATGATCCGAGATGGAAAGACATTAGGGCCAAATACGACAGGATCATTGACAGAGAGTCCCGCTATGAAAGACCAGAGGTAGCTCGATGGAATCGGCAGGAGAGCTGGGGCAGAAACGCATGGAAGCAGGCGACCGAGTCATCAGTTCCTAAGATGGTGGGTGAGTCTGTCTATGGAGTTAGCCCCGTGTTGGCTGCATTAACTGCAGGAAGGAGGGAGTTCTACACTCTGTATGTCCGGGATGGACTGGATCTGAGTGGGAACAACAAGAAGAAGAAAGATAAGAAAGGAATTGAGAAGATCCTGAAGATGGCCGACGAGATCGGTTTAACAATCAAAGAAGCCTCGAAGCACGATCTGAACATGGTCGTCGACAACCGCCCTCACCAGGGCCTCATACTCGATGCTTCTCCATTGGAAATGGTGGGCATAAGGGAGCTGGTTCCTGTGTCGATGAATGAAGGAGAGAGGGCCCCTCTGTGGATCGCCCTGGACGAGGTCATGGACCCACAGAATTTAGGGGCGATTATCCGGTCTGCTTACTTCTTTGGTGTGGAAGGGGTGGTCCTCTGCGCAAAGAACTCGGCTCCCCTGAGTGGAGTAGTCAGCAAGGCCAGTGCAGGTTCTCTGGAGATGATCGAGCTGAGGTCCTGCAAGAACATGATGCAGTTCCTGGCCTCGTCGGTCGAGAACGGGTGGCGGGTTCTTGGTGGCTCGGTCTCTCCCAACGCTCTCCCACTGGGCGAGGTTAAGCCAGGAGCCCCAACTGTTCTTGTTCTTGGCAGCGAGGGCACTGGCTTGAGGCCTCTGGTTGAGAGGTCCTGTACTGATCTTGTGAGGATACCTGGTAATGCTCCTGTGGATGGAGATGAAGAAGAAGAAGAAGATGGGGAATTCCCCAGTCGAGAGTTCAAGCCGTTTCTGGCTGTCGAGAGCTTGAATGTGAGCGTAGCAGCGGGTGTTCTTCTCTATCATTTGGCCGGGAATGCTGGTGGTCTGAAAGAGTCAGAAAGCTGATGAACTCGGGTTTTAACGTCCTCTTTGCTTGTGGCCTGGTGCCCACCAGTTGAACCAGCTTCATCCAACCCTTCCAGTTTTAGAAGTGACTTCGATATCCATAAAATCATCAAGCCTCTCGCTTTCTTTCCATTTTAATCTCATCTTCTTGTCACAGAATTTAAAAAACTTCCATATCTGTAGAAATTATACTTGGTTGTTATCTTGCGGTGGCATTTTTTTCTCACAATTATATTTATTAATCATCGTTCTACTGGGTTTTTTAAAGACAGTTTCCTAATCTCTGTAGACGGCGCCCCCTGTTTAGTCTGTGCATCCTGATGAATCCGATCTTGGCATTTCTAGCCATGTTCATCAGTGAAGCTGTTCCTATTCTTGAAGCCTGTAATGCCCAGATGGATATTTTTTGGATATTTCTAGTCGATGCCCAGATAATTATCATATTATATTGCTAAAATAATTGCATGCTTTCTGTTAGTTCTGGTGTTTCATAGTGCAGTGGGATATGACTGGGAGGAGAAAAAACTTCCCAGGGTCAAAGCTCCATACCTTTGTACCCTCTTCTGTTATTATTTTCCTTGTTTGGCAAACTGCGCCTGGGCTATGAAAATATTCAGTCCGAAAAATCTAGTGCCCATTTTTTGTCCCATGTCGATATTACATAATCACAAATGAGACATCATCTCTCTCTCCCTCTCTCTCTCTCTCTCTCTCTCTCTCTCTCTCTCTCTCTCTCTCTCTCTCGCAATATATATATATATAAATATATATATCTGATATTGTTCATCTTCCTCTTTTTGATTATGAGGAAGTTTGAGTGGACACAAACTGTTTATGAACAGTAGACTTGAATTAGGATTGTAAGCATCAGACATAAATTTGATGAGCACGTTGTGAAAGTTTCCAAGGTGATGAAGATGACAAATGAATGAATGATCCATACAGATTACCTAACAGCCTTCATAAATATATTTACGTTATCTTTGGAGGCATATGATATGAATACTTGATACTTCATGGTAAAGTCATAAAGGCGGGTAGTATTGATTTCAAATGGTAATGTGACTAATTTAATTAGTAACTTATCAATGTATCATAAATTAACTCAATGAGTAATTCATGCGTAACATATTTAAATTATAGAATAAGGGCTTCTTGACGCCTCAGTTTTGGAATATACAAAGCAAACTTTTTTATTTGCTTCAGCCATTCCAATAAAAAAATAAAATATATTAAAAAGGAAAGGCCCCCTTGAAATGTTTCATAATTTCATAGAGATACCAACTAAATTGATAATCATACAAAATATTTTTAAAAAATATAAGTATAAATATTAATTGTAAGTCATTTTAAGTATAAAATCCACCTAATAAATCAATTTGTTGACTCGGTGTCTTGAGAAGAAACAAAAAAAGGAAAATACTACACAAAATTATGCATAAACCCATCACTCGATAACTCTATGTCTCAAATCCTTGTGTCATTTAAGGACTCATGATGATGCCCCTAACATAATGTCCCTTGAAGTAGGTGGAATGGAAATAGCCATATGGTTGTGAGAACAATACATTATGTGATTAAAAATTTATTTATAAGATATTCAATCATAAAACATGGGGAAATCTTCAACAAACTTTTGTTTTCTCTAATTTTTATACCTATTTGGATATGTAGATATGTGATTTTATCAGCACCATAATTAATCTATTAATGCCTAAAGTGATGCAATTCCTAAACCATATCTCTTCATAACAAATGCAATAGCCACATTAGTTTTATAATAAGTATATGTCTTTTATTTAATTTTCAATAATAAGATTAATAAGATGGTCTTATAACTTCATTAACCCAGTTCTTTATTTTTGATATATTTTTAGTCTTTTTGTTTAATATCTAGTTCAATTAATGGAGGATCACAAAATTCCAATCAAAATTACAGGGGAAGAAATTATTTATAGAAATTTTAGTTAAATTTTCTTCATCTTGGTCATGTGCGTTTTATATTTGTACCCAACTTTAATTTTTAGATATTAGATAGAATCTAAATATGCACTATTTTTTATTAATTTCTGCATCGTAGATATTATTATCCAGAATTTACAGGATTTCCCCTCCATTAAGTTATTAATTACATATATTTGAGTACTTTTTAGTTTTTGATATTTTTCACTTGAGTTCCAAGGGTGTGGGTTCGTTATAAATAAGACATTTTAGCGTAAAACCCTCATACTGCTTGCTTCTTTCTCACGAGGCTATGGAGAAAAAATAATTATAAAATCATTTGAAAGTAATATCCATAAATTTTATTTTAAAATCTGATTCGGGCGCAGTACGTGTCGTCCTTATCGGATCATTCGCTCTGTGGATCTGGAAATACCCGTAATGGCTACCGGTAAGTTTAGAGAGAGAGAGAGAGAGATCGGGCAAGAGAGTGTGTGTGTGAGAGAGAGAGAGGACAGCGGGGGGGTTTAAGCGGGTTGTAGAGGCGACCCACTGCTCCGTGAATCGACTACGCCGGAGGGTTCTGCTGCGCGCAGCGGAAGGTGGCAGGGATGTCGACGCTCGAGATCGAAGCGCGGGAGTAAGCTCTTTCTTGTCCTCTTCGCTCTTCCCGTGGTCCCCCTTCTGTCCCTCTTAGCTGCTACTTAGCGGATTATCGAGTATCATCCTACTTCGTTGTTCCCGCGACACTTTGTATTGTTTCTTTCGAGTATGTGAAGTCGGTGTGGAGTGGAGGTTCTGCGTAGTGTTTTTCGGGGACCCTACGGAAATTGGATTCTGGAAATCGGTTTCGGGGGGCGACGTCTAGACTTTTGGGGTTTTCTCGGTCCGAACGGACTGGTGTATGCATTGGTAGGATGGGTTAAAGTTGACTCATGGATGATGTGTCTCGTCGCCGTTGATGGCCTCTGAAATCAATGGCCGTTGCAAATGCTGCATGGGGGGGGGGAAGGGGGGGAGGGGGGGAGAACGATTGAGAAAATCAAGATCATAATGTGCACGTGTCCTCGTATATGTTGTTTTTAAATCATGATACCTAGATTTTTGCTGGATATACAAGTGTAGGCGCAGAGACGATCCTTATTCAGTATGCTTGTCCCGAAGAAGGAAAAAATCGAAACTATGTTTTCTCTGATGATACCCTTCTATTGCGTGGCTTATGGAGAACTCCTGGAGAATGTACAGTGTTTTGGGTTCAGGGAGAGGATGGACTATAAGTTCGATGGGAACAACTTCAAGATACAGTTTTGGATTGATGATGCACTGAGTGTTCCACCGTATATGTGTCTCATTTCGAGGGGTGGGGGGTGGGTGGGTATATGGTGAGATGCCTCAACAGATTCACCCTGTGACTAAAGTTTTTCTCTAGGCGTTGACTTGGGATTAGCTTTAGCAAACGTGATAGCGAGCTGCGAGGATGTTGTGCTTGTCTGAGAATTGAATTCGTTGTCTGAGTTAGTAAATTGAGAACTGCTTTTTCTTTGCTCCAACTTCTCCTACCGTCCACTATGCTTGTAATAGTTTAAAGATACGTTTTTGTTTTCACCAAAGGAAGAGTGGCACAGGATGTCCGCAGAGAGAGAGAGAGAGAGAGAGAGAGAGAGAGAGAGAGAGAGAGAGAGAGAGAGTTGACACCTTGCAGAGTTGTCTTTCCCATGTTCCCGCCCCAGAAACCCTGAATGGTTGTCTTGACTCGATATTTATTTCTCCAATACTATTGCTTCTGTAGAAAGATGGACGAAGGATCATGGGTGACTGCAAATCTATTGCCCTCTGGATCTCTTTCCTCTTTCGTCTGATCAAACTAGTCATGGATGGCATTGAGCTCCCATTAGCTTGGATAGCAGCGGCCAAAGAAGGCCAATTTTCATCCAGCTATGCATCATTGACATCATATTCTTCAACAGTGAAACATTTAGCCGAGAATCAATCGTCATCATTCCTAAAAAGAGAACTATGTAAACTATACAATGTAACACGTTGCATCAGATGAACAGTGCTGAACTCCCAATCTGTTGTTTCATTGGATTTCATTAAATTCTGAGTGTTATGAGTTGTATTGGAGACTATAAAATGAATCACCCATGGTAAATGACTGAGGGCAAAATTTTTGAATAAAAAGAAACCACATTTTTCCTCGCACTCATTTGATTTCAGGGCAAGCTCATTTGTAGTGGCTGCTGAGGATGCAGGAGGGTAAATTGGTCTCTTGTTATGTGTGAGTTTGGCAAGACGTGTCATGGTTCTGGAGAAGCACTTTCTGTGGGCAGTAAGAATAACTGTTCATCAGCTGTGCCAAAACAAGATTAAGGAAGAGAGGAAGGAAAGGTTCAAATGCAACAGTAGGAAAACAATCTTATAGTTGCATTTGCAGTTGAGATCTAGTCATGTGCACCAGGAAAAAAGAGGCTCACAAAATAAGGATGAAAGGCATAGAAGTGGGAGAAGTGAAATAGTAGTTGAGGAGTTTTATGAAGCTGTGAATCGAATTTTCAACTATGTGCGGTGATAATCAATGTCTCTACACCATTTTGCTTCCATGATCAGATCCTTGTTGGGAGTCATATGCCCTATTAATATGGTTCCTACTTTTTGCTATTGGGTTCATTTATAAGAGAATACAATTTCTGAGCGATTAGCAACATATATAATTTAGTCACTTAAACGCTTTTCTAAAGTTGTAGTCATGCATCACAGTTGGCATGTCTGTTGATCATTATATGTTTGGAAAACTTTTCCATTATGACCATCAAAACGGATCTAGACAATAGGGAATGTGATTGGACTTTATGGATAACAGGAAATGGATAGAAGCTCAAGAGAACAGAAGTCTAAACAGGGAGATAGATATGGCGTGGGAAAAATATATTAGTCGCATTTATGCTTATGTGGCCAGGGAACAACTACCAAACAGTTCCTTGGGTAGAACCTAATTGAAGAGGAATGGATGAAACGTCTGCTGATGTTCTCAATAATGGCATTTAAAATCATATTGACTGGTATCTAAGTCATTAAAAATTGTGTCTGAAATAAAGAATTATCAACCATTATTTATGTTAAATGTTTTCCTTATTTTCTCTGATGAAGGGAATTCTAATTTTTAGTATCACACAGTTAATGTTGTCTAAATATGTTCTTCGGGAGAAAATATTTTTTAACTTTCATATAAAAATAGACTTTTAGGGAAAAATAGAATGTCTGTTGGTTCAAGGGAGATTAGGGATCTAAACCATAGGAACGAAAACAATTGACATTTCAACGATCACTTTCAACCTTGGAACCGTTATGACAGCCTCCATCAGGGTTTAATTACTTGGCTGTTGATGAAAGTGTAATAGCGTTAACCATTTGATCTTCTTGGATTATTCAATTTCAGCTGTAGATCGATATTAAAATTCACAGGATTCACATGATTACTTACAGAACGGACAAAAAATAATTTGGCTCAAATTCAGCTCGTTATTAAGCCTTCTACTCAACATGTTACTGTGTCGTGTAACTAATGAGAGTATGGTATCAACTTGATGATCAGCCGTAACTTTTTATTCAAACCATGGTCTTCTAGGTTCCTAACTGGACTTGGATTTATGTTATGAACCATGTTAATTGGGTCGGATGGTTAATGATTTTTTAGAAACTTCCCCAATAACCTGGATAATTATGATAAATAAAGCCTTCTGTTGATTTGGTTTCACGTCTTTACCACACAGGATAGTGCTATTCTATTTGAAACAGAATGGGCATGTGCTTCCCTTGTTTCTTACAGTACAATCGACTACTGGTGTTCAGATAATCTGTTTTCTTTTTGGTTTCATCTATTCTTGATATTGCTAATCATCTTAATTTTTTGACAAATTTCTTAAGAAGCTATCCTAATGTCTTACAATTTATATGCATGCACTTATCGTAGTTTTTTTTTGCTATTTTGGTTATCAATGAATCGTATAGTTTGGGTGAGAAAACATTATAGTATGAATGGTTTAGGTTAATGATGGATTGTGGTGCATCTGAGTCGCTTTCAGACTTATATGAATGTTGCCCCTGCACATGCTTGCCCATGGAGGCCATTTTAGCTAAAAAACTTTACACATCTAGCTCAGTAATATTTGTGGGCTTTTTATTGAATCAGTTTGTTCATGCTTAATAATATGTTTTAAGGTAGGCCTTTTGTTTTTTTTTTTTTTTTTTTTTACAGTGTCATTAAGATCGTCCTTCAGTTCTGCAAAGAGAACTCACTGCATCAAACCTTCCAGACATTGCAGAATGAGTGTCAGGTTTCCCTGAATACAGTGGACAGCCTTGAGACCTTTGTTTCAGATGTCAATAGTGGGAGGTGGGATGCAATATTGCCTCAAGTGGCTCAACTGAAGCTTCCGAGAAACAAACTTGAGGATCTTTATGAGCAGGTATGAAAGTATTCCAACGTGTTGCTTTTAACAACTATTGTATTGTTTTTCGTTGTAGTGACTTGAATCACTGTTGATGTCTAGAAGTTTTTTTGAAGGTAATAACTGACACAATTTTTTCTTATACTTCTGTTCTTACCCATCTCCCAGATTGTTTTGGAAATGATTGAACTTCGTGAGTTGGACACTGCTCGTGCCATTTTAAGGCAAACTCAGGCAATGGGTGTTATGAAACAAGAGCAGCCTGAAAGATATTTGCGCCTTGAACATCTCCTAGTCCGAACATATTTTGATCCACTTGAGGTTTGTGTTATTGTTTAAATGTGTTGTTAGTTCCTGAAACTCCTCATGTCGGTGCTTTGTTTGTTTACATGTTTTTCGCATTTCCATACCCACAATAATCTGATTCTGTGAGTTTCAATTTTTACTCTAGTGAATACACATTCGAAATTTGTTAAAGAAAAACAGTTTTAGTGTTTGGAAGGCAATCGTCACGGTTTATTGCATATTAGTCTGAAGGCAATTTTCAAATTTTTGTCACAAAATATTTTTAATGTTTATTTCAAAATACTTCTGGAGCATTATAACTGCATGATCATATTGATGTTGTTCTTTCACCATGAGCAGCAGCAATCATGTGTGTGCACTTGTGGTCCTCCGCATTAGTTGTTTTCAGTGTGAATCCTTTCTTTGAAGCTTTGATCTCTACTCTAAACGGATTAACATTCAGCTGAAACGAAGTTAAATTTGAGTATTAATATTGTCCAAATTTTTTCTGGTAATTGTTATTTTATGGATCAATCCTGATCCCTTCTCTGAGAAATAAAAAGTTTTAAAAGCTGTAATTTACGCATATGATCTGCCAATTTGTTAACGTATGACTAATTGAGACTTGAAAATGTTCATTGCAAATAATTTTGGCATGTCTCTTTAATGGTATAGTCTATCGTTTACTGGTCTAATTGCTACATTGCTCTTTAGATATTTCAGCAAATACACTTGAAAAGTTGTTGATGTTTATCTTCTCACATATAGGCTAATGGTTTTTCATTCGCATCGTTTTTTATTGATTTTTTTGGTTAATTGTGTTCGTTTCTCTTGCTTCTTTGGAGGCTTTTTGTCAATTTTTGTTCTTAGATTAGTTACTGCCGTAGAAGAAGTTCACGCAATTGGATCCGTGATGAGGACCTTCATAATCAACTACTAATGAATTACTGTCTGATTCGTTGATTTACTTAAGCTTTTACTGATTGTTACTTATCTTTTGGTTGTCTTTTCTTGCTCTGCCAAGTACTAAAGAGCCAGGTTAATATCTGCAGGCATATCAAGAAGCAACAAAGGAAAAGCGGCGTTCATTGATTGCACAAGGTTTTTCTAGCTTGCCTCATGTACATATTTTTTGTTCGACTATTCTTGCCTCACGTTTCCTTTCATTGAGCCAGTCCTTCAATCTGTAGCAACTCCCGCCCAACAGTCGAAACAGCAGAGAGGGAAAACCGATAGTTCTTGGATTAAGGACAGTAAAAGAGGACAGAGGGGAATGAGCGGAGGTATGTCGTAGGGAGGAAGACGGATGAGTGTGGAAGAAGACAGGGGTAGATGACGGGAGTTAACCCTAACACGGGATTTCGAGGTATCCCAGCCTCCTTAATCTGCGATGCACCCTTCTGCTGCATAACCCGGTCTTAAATATTCCCTTACCCTTAATGGGCCCAGTATTGGGTCTCCTACGGGAGTAAGTTGGGCCCAGTGGCCTAACACAATCTTTACTTGAATTTTTTTTTCTCTCCATTTATGGATACACGCATCAGCAAACTAAGACACGATAATGGGCCTATCACTTAACAATTGTTCCCTGTCAGTAAACATTTTAGTTGAATATTCGGGGTGCCATCATGCTTGGTTCATGATAATGTTGGATAAGGGTATAATTCATTGGGTGCCATCTTGTGGTTCATTTATCTTTTCCCCTCGTGCTCATTCTCTAGTTGTTGATGTTGTAGCCATTGCTGCTGAAGTTAATGTGGTACCACCATCACGTTTAATGGCTTTGATTGGTCAGGCATTGAAATGGCAACAACACCAAGGTCAGTGGTCCTTGATTGTGCTTTATATATCTATATTTTAATGATACGTTCATATAGTTTCGCTGAAGCATATTCTTTTTTTTTTTTCTTGCAGGATTACTGCCTCCAGGAACACAATTTGATTTGTTTAGAGGTACTGCTGCAATGAAGCAAGACGAAGATGATATGTACCCAACATCGCTTGTGCACACGATTAAGGTGAGTTTGCTTGTCCAGAACATTCATTGAATTTGCAATGGTGCTTATGTTTGTTGTGAATTGTCTTCTGTTCAACCACCTCATGTAGTTTAAGCGCTTTCTTATTTGCCTTCGTAGCTGTAATAAACAAAAAAATATTGTGGTTTGAAAGGGGAACGTTTAGTAAATATATATATGCTCATGCTTCTTTTAGTTGGTTCAATAATATGGCAAAGTACAACTTATCTGTGTTGTGTTCATGATAATTGTTAAAATGTAAATTACAGACTGATTGATTATCATTCTGATTCGACACTAACAATTAAAGAATGGAGATTGGAATTGGCCAAGCTTATTTATCCTTATTTAGAATAGTGGTAAGACTATTTGGTGTCTTGTCAAGTCAATTAGATACGAGTATATGATCGTATACCGTAGCCATGTGTGTTAGGAGGATTTGAAAGAGACCATAAAATCTTCATGTGTACTCAAGAAGTAGACGCATCATACCTCAGTCTTTGTGTAAGTTTGTTGATGGAGTGATACTTGGTCACAATCGTCAGATCGATGCTTTCAACATCTTCGTCTGGTTGCATTTAGATTTTACCTATTCTCCTCTGGTTATAACTTGTCAAGGAATTGTTTAGACTCTGGCTGACTGGGTTATCACGTTAGTCAGACTGATACTGTGGTACTATAAAAACTCAAGTTTGCAATATGGTTTAGGAATAAAGCTCAATGGTTAGGAAAAGAAGCAACTGCACAAACAGTGCATATAATAATTTTAGTGATGGAAAGAAGATTTTGTGATCTAGTACGATCAGACAGGTGGAAAGAATAAGACTGACTGTTGAAGATTATCTCTCTTTCGGTCCAATCTCGCTCTTGAGACATTAAAAACAGTCGTTTTGTCTTGTGTTGATACAGAGAACTAGGAAGAGAACAAGGTAGAAGTAATAGTGGTATGATCTGTTATGACCTGTAGCAACATAACTGCTCAAGTTTAAGGCATCCTTTCGAATGCAATGGCCTGTCATCACCCAAGGGCATCGAATTGTAGAAATAATTGACCTCTGGGTTCTCTCTTCTCCTTTCTCTTTTCTTGGAACGGATTCTGGAACGAAGTTGAGCAATAATTTCGTAATAAAGGATGGTCCAACGGAAAAGTCCTCAGTCTGTAACAAAACAATAACTTCGAAATTGGCGACAGGGATTTCATGGTGGAATGCCATTCATGGTGCAATGGTCCCCTGCCTTGTAGCAGACAGCTGTTGGAAGGCCCTATGTTTGCTATCAGGAGCGGTGAGTTTGGTTTCGCTATCATGGATGGAATCCCCTTGTGTTCGTGCTCAGAAGCTGCTGGAAGTTTCCATGTTATGGGTGGAGTCCAGCAAAGGTCTCCTACCTTACACTCAGGCCCCATTGTTAGTCCTCCACAGCCAAACATTCTCCATCTACCCCTTCTACAAGAGAACAAAAACCTGACATGGGACTACAATGAAAAGAAGTTACCTCTTACACATACAGCCAATGACAGTGAGAAAATGATAGAAAAACAGAAGTGGATTGAAGAATTCAATGTCGATCTATTGCTGCCCCTTTTTTGTGTGCTTTTTAAAAATAAGGGCTTTTCTCAATAGAATTCTGAGGTTTTGCCTGTCATGCTTGTGAACCTCAAATAGATGGTAGGTTCAATGTCATCCTGTTTCCTATTGTATGATAATAATGGACATATGAACCTCATTGATAAGATAATTATCTTATTCTTTGTTTGATATCGATGAAATATTTCATCAAGGTTGAATATAGTTTATTTTATTTTATTGCGTGCATTGTATCCTATTTTGGAGTAATTAAGCAAACGTCATCATGATGCAGAATAGTGACATCATTGTAACACCTACACCAGAAAGTTTGCTTCGATTTTTATCTGCGAAGAATGCTCATCATGGTTGAATTGATTGATTGATTGGTTATCGAGTTATTCTCCTAAACATTTCTAAATGTGAAGATGATCCATTTGAAATGGTTTTATTATATCCTCGTGATCTGAAAGAAACTGGGGTTTGAAGCATTCCTCCCCCCAGTTGAGTAGAAATAATAATTCCACTATAAAATAATTCACTTACTCTCTTGTATGCCTTCTTTTGTATAAATCCTGCTTTTGTGCATTGTGATATCACGAAAGTGCATTTTCATATTGCCTTTTGAGGCTTGCACTTTGCCGCTATTACATTTGCTTAGTATGGCTTTGCAGTAACTTTTAGAGTTTTTCTGATGCAAACTAGTAATCATTTTGGAAACTCTTGTTTTTTTTCCCTTTCAGTTTGGGAAGAAAAGTTATCCACTTTATGCTCGATTTTCACCTGATGGTCAGTACCTGGTTTCATCCTCTATTGATGGCTTTGTTGAGGTTTGTTGTTTATTATAGATGCTGCGTCAAATGTGTCATTCACATGTTGTTTAAGAATTATTCCATATTTTCCTTAGCTCGAGTAATTGCAGGTTTGGGACTATATAAGTGGAAAACTCAAGAAGGATCTCCAGTACCAGGCTGATGTAAGCAATTTTAATTTTTATCCCAAATCATAACAGGAGCATGCTTTATTTTTATTTACTAAATCTTTAAGCTTCAGCTGGATATAAATATCATCGAATATTGTTCCATGATAACTCTTGTTCCATCAAGATTGGGTTTCTTGGGATAGTTTCAAAAGTTTCAGTATGATATTAACCATGGTTTTCTTAGCGTTGCCTAGTGGCAATGGGGGCAAGATGTGCAAAGTATTCAAGCTGCTTGAATGGGCAGCCCGAAAAGATAATCAGGTGGACCGTCTTATAGTTAGGGCCTGTTTCAGGATGCATTTGTGCATGAGTGGAGGTGTTGAAGTGTTACAATATTTACTCATGTTACATGTCGTGTGATGCTTGATGATGTGTTTGTACATTGCATCTTTAGCGTCTGAATGAACTGCTGCGCAACTTTTGTACATCATACATCATGGGCTGACATATTTGGTTGAATGTGCGGTCGCACAAATGTGCTCAAGACAAAAAGTTGGGACAATTATATAAAATCTGGGAAACCTTTGATTAAAGTCAATCAAAACCAGGCGTTGTCTGGTCGTTTCACCTTGGTGTCTAAATATACAGTGACCAATACCTTAGGCGCTTTAAAACCTCGACAAGAACTTTCTCTTAACTTAATATAAAATGAAGTGCCCTTGATAATGTTATCTTTGTTTTTTCACCCCTCAGTCATTCAATGAGCCAACAACTCATTGATCATTGCTCTCTTTTAGGCAAGAAAAAAACAAGCATGAAGAACAGAAAGATAATATAATAGTATGAATAAAAAGGTACATCCTAAACATACAGATACTGCACGAAGAAATGAATAACATTATATGGAGTAGAAGGATGAGAACGTAAGTCAAGTTAGAAAGGAAGGTGAAGAAAGCGAGTTCTATGAGGGAGCACGTATGTATTTCCAGATGTAACATGGGCCATGAATTTCCAATTGGGGTATATTGTATGAATAGTAGCACTGTTTTTGGCTTTCACCACAGGTTATTGTTGTTTTGAGCCAAGAGAATGAACATGAAAGTTTTGAGGATATGTCTCTAACAGTGAGGTTCCTGGTTTCTCTAGACTCTTTCCTGAATTCGAACCCCTCTCTGATATCTTATAGGTGCCTCTTCGTAAAGAACTCATCGCGACCATGGTTGTGGGTATGCAAATCATGTAAAAATCATTTATTCATGTTTGATTGTTGCTCATCTTCTTCTCTATTCTGCTTTCTTCCTCGTCCTATCTTATGGTTGGGGAGTGTTATTCCTAAAACAATCCATAGGTTGGGCTGTCAGACAATTTTTCTTGCAGTGAGTAATATTTTGTGTATGATATTTTTTTCCCTTGCTTTTGCATGATCCAGAAAGTAAGTTTTTTAAAATCTTTATGCACTCTCCTCAAAGTCTTAAAACTGGATTTATATTTATTGCAAGAATGCTGATGCCATAAAATGTATGCAGGATGCCTTTATGATGCACGACGATCCTGTTCTTTGTGCCGATTTTAGTAGAGATTCTGAAATGTTGGCGTCTGGTTCACAAGATGGAAAGATAAAGGTAGCTCTTATTTTGCAACATTTTGCAAATTTAATTGCCACTAGGTTCATCTTGAGGATGGTTATAGAAGAAATTCTCTTGCATTCACAATTTTGTCAATGTGTTTCATAAGTATACTCTCTGTTTGTTTATCTACCCGCTAATTTAAAAAATTCAATACTATTGGTAACTTTACTAGAATTTTAGAAGGTCACCGTACATAGATTATATCTTGATCCCTACATGCTTTCCCTTTTTAAATGAGATTATTCCATCGTGCAGAGTTCCATGTGACAACAGGGATGCACGATCTGATCTTGCTTTCTGCATGGTTGTGACAAAAGTGCAAGAAAAACGATGGGTTTTGCTATTCCCTCTCTGTGATGCTTGGGGGATTTCCTTCTACTTCACGAGGGATCAGGGGGGCAGTCTCATTTTTGAACAGTGAAGACTTCATGTAGAGTCTTTTAAGGTTGGTGACAATAGTCAGTATTTGTCATCATCTTCTTCATTCACCTTTCATCCACGAATATCTCAGTTAATGGGGTCAGAGATAACAGCTAATGATAATTTAAACAAGTAATATTAGACCATTGTAGAGAGGGTCATTCTAGACTTTGACACGCTATTCAACGACATGATCAGTATGGGTGAAATTTTTATACAATCTACTCTTGCTTTATCAATATGATGAAGCAAAGAAAAATCTCACATGCAGTTAGTCAAAAGATACGGTAGATTTGTTCTTTTTCTGTCATAATCTCTGCGCTTAAGTGGGCTTCGAAAGATTTATAGTTTGCACATGAAGAAACGCTGTGGTGCCCTATTTTGTAGGAACTGAAATTGTACACCTGGGTTCATCTTTCCCATCCTTTGGAGCATCTCAGCCAGTGCATCTTCTCCTCCTGTAAAGCTTTCAGCCCATAAAAGCATCAAGATTATTCACTAGGTGGTTTCGTTGATTGGGTCAGGATGTTGGATTTAGACTAATAGTACTTGTCATTATCAAATGAAGCCCAGCTGAACTCTGCTACAATTGCACTCCGAGTTTAGTATCACCTGTTCGTCTTCTCCGCCCCAATTCTCCCCCACTTTTGCCAATTGTGATAATTCCATCAATTAGTGAGGATGCCCCTTGTGACCTGGAAAATAATGCCATCGTTGCATTCTCGTCCTCTCTTTTCCGTCCCATTGCTAGTATTCCTTACTCCTTTTAACATTGTTGAGTTCTTGTGTGAAGCAAATAATTTCTTCATTCATTCTTAGTCGTTCATCACACTTACTTCCCTAGATTGGTGGATTCGTCCAGATTCATTTGATCCCACTGTCCACTTTTCCCAGTTTTTCCTAGTTCACCTGAGTTATTCTTCCTGTCTACTGCTCACCTCATTCTCTGGATTATTCATGATTTTGCACTTATTGTTGGCCGCGTCAACCTTTGGCTGAGTTCAGCTAAACATAAAGTATCAGAAAATATGTGAGGTTCCAATAATCTCCCTAATGTATTAAATATCATGAAATCTTGGACTTGCTGCTTCAGGTCTCTAAATGTACTTCCTAGGTATGCAAAAAACTCTGTGAATGATAATCTAAGGTTTTGACAAACATTACCTGGTTCGTATAGGGAAAATATCGTTTAAAGACGCACGGATACGAGGAGGCTATTGCAGACTCCTCATTCCTAGGTAAAATTAAGCGTTAGAATCAACACCACTGTCTCCCTTATTTCTTGGGATGTAGAAGTCTAATCAATCAACATTCGTTGATGCAAATAATAAATTGTGGTAGTGCTTTTACATCTTTGCTTGAACTTCAAAAATGTATATGTTGGTTTAGGTGATTACTAAATTTCGAACGTTTATAGTCTTATTTTTTTGATCTTGCTTCACCTTGGTAATGCAGTCTTCCTTTAACATCTGTCCAGGTTTGGCGTCTAAGGACTGGTCAGTGTTTACGTCGTCTTGAACATGCACATTCCAATGGTGTCACCAGTGTTGTATTCTCTCGTGATGGAAGCCAGCTGCTAAGTGCATCCTTTGACAGCACTGCAAGGTTCCTTAAGATCATGGATATTCTGTCTACACTAGTTGCAACGTGGCATCAACTTCGTTTGCTAATTTTTTTTGGTCCTAGAAAATATTTACTGTCTCTATTAGTCTTCTTATTTTGAAAGAAAATGTGGGATACATTGCTGGTTTCATCCTAGAGATATAGTAACAAGAACGGTGGGGTGAAATATGCCAAATCTGGTCAATTACGAAAAAATATTTCTCCTACAAAAAGTACTTCTGTCTGAAGAATTAGTTACGTGATTATTAGTTTCTCTAATAAAAAAATGGCTGTAAGGAGAGTGTACAATGGTGCGACGGGAAAAACCTTTTCGCGTAGGCCCTTCTATCTTGAAGGATCAATTTATTCCTCTCCTGTGAGGATACCTTTGTCCCTGTTGTAAGAGGCTACTGAAAAATAAAGCTGTCTGGTCCTTTGTACATCTCCCAAGAAAAAGAAATGTCATTGTGCGTCTTTAGTCATTCAAAGGTTTTTCTTGTCACCTTGCAAATTGAGTCAACCTTAAATGATACAATTAATCAAACTTTCTCTAATGCTCTCTTGCATTTCCATTTTTCAAGAAATCCTTCTGAAGTATTAAGATGAATTATATATTTAGCTATGGGCTGAGGGCTTTTTCATGGTGATGATTATATTATAAATAAATCTGTTTGTTCAATTTATGGCTATGACAGTTCTTTGAGTCTTAGTTCTAACAATATACCCTATGAGGCCCATTCTCTCGTGAAACTTGCTAGGTTGGTTCAACTATAGTACTTCCTCTTTATGCTTGCATTTCAGTTGATCTATGGACCTTATAGAACTGACTAAACTTCACATATAATTGTTGTTTAATGTGGAAAATTATGAGATCTGTTTCTTTTCTGCTAAGGAATGGGATACTACCAATTATTTGACAGCTGTTTACTTTTGGCCGATGCTTTCTTGTAAAGTAACTCTGTAACTACACACTTGATTCATGAGTAAAGTATACTTGTAACTTCGAGCTCTGGAAAATGTGTGTACTGACATGGGCACGTAAATAAGGCATGCAAAATATTTTAATTAAAGGCTCAAGGGTATGGTGGAAAATACGTACATATATGGATTTGGCTGTTGGTTGTGAAGAACTTCTAGATTATGCTTTTACTAGTCTTCTAACGTATTGAAAAATTTGGTTTTGGAATCCCACACGTGTTGTGTTCAAAGCTCAAAAAGGCATTCTAGGATTTGATATGGACTGTTGTGGCTAATTAAGCTCCGGAGTTGTGTTGCGAATAATGGCATGTAAATCAAATTGCATTGTTTATATTTGTAACCATTTTTTTTGTAAAGGAAACATGATGGCTTCTTTCATCTTTTTGGCAGAATCCATGGCCTTAAGTCAGGGAAGTTGTTGAAAGAATTTCGTGGTCACACTTCTTTTGTAAATAATGCAATATTTACAAGTGATGGAAGCCGGGTTATTACTGCCTCTAGTGATTTTACTGTGAAGGTATGGTCATCTACATCTATTAAATCCCATTCTCATCCTTCACATTTCTGGGCCAAAAAATGGAGTCATGCTCAATTAATTCTTCCGATCCATCCGATGTTTCCTAATATCTTGGACAAATCCACAGTTAGCTTTCCTTTGACCATGATTTCCTTATCCTCAATATCTGTTCGTTAGCCACAGTTGTACTTTTTGAAAGTGTGATCATGTCAGGTGTGGGATCTGAAGACCACAGATTGCTTACATACATTCAAGCCACCCCCTCCTTTAAGGGTACTTCATTCTTCTTGTGGTTATCTTTTTCCTTTTCAATATCTTTTCAGTTTATACGATTCCATTGGCATCTATGTGATGTGATTTTTTTGACCTTGCTAGGGTGGTGATGCAGCAGTAAACTCCATCCATCTGTTCCCCAAAAATACTGAACACATTATAGTTTGTAACAAGACTTCATCTATATACATCATGACACTTCAAGGGCAGGTGCACGTTTACTTAGGAATCTTTCATAATTTGAGGCAATCTTACGATGATTACTTCTTTCTATCTGCAAAATGATTCTGTTAATTAGTGGCAATGGACGCTGAAGTGATCCAATATGTGTATGCTTCCACGCAGTTTGTTGATGTGCTTTCTTAGTGTTGAGCCTTCAAATAACAAAGTGCTAACAATGGATGATAAATATCTTTTGGCTTAATCTAAACGTCAGGTTGATTGTTTGTTGAAGGAAAATATGTTGTTGACATCAATGTAGAGGATGGTGGAGCTATTTTTCTTGACCTGAAAGTTACAAGATTTCACAATCATGTCCATTTTTTTAAACAATCATCTGGCAAACATAAAGGTAGCCATTTGTACATGGGCTCAAAGCCTCTGCATTGCTGCAGAAGTTGTGTTATGCAAAAACAAAAATGTAAATAAATACACCGAAAGTTTCTAAGGGCTGTAGGTGGGGATACAGAAAAAATGGCACCTGTTTTTAAACATTGCTAGCTTGCTAAATGAAATTTGTGCCGCATTCATTTATTCGTAATTGTATGTTTGAATCAATTATGAAGGGAAGAAAAAAGGAGTATTGAATGGTACACTAGATTTTATGATTAAATCTTCTATTGTTATTGATGTAGGTTTATGGACTGAGCTCGAGCTCCCACATATTCGTCCCGTTTATCTTTTTATTAAAAGGATTTCGGATATTTCATATCTTCACTTCTCATAAATGAAAACAAATACTTTAATAGTTATTAATACAGTTGTGAAGTTGCTTAAATCCTCTTTACTCTTCCAGGTTGTTAAGAGTTTTTCTTCCGGTAAGAGAGAAGGAGGAGACTTTCTTGGTGCTTGTACTTCCCCAAAAGGAGAATGGATTTACTGTGTTGGTGAAGACAGGTAATTTCTAATCGTGTTCTTGTGCCCTCTTTTTGATGTTTTTCATTATAATATTCCTTTTAGTATGCTGGTCTTGCTAAATATTCGGGCAGTAAGAACATGTGATCCATAGTTAAGTTGGCTAGGCATCATCAAAATATTTTACCAAGGTGATGTATGCCTAAACATCATCCTTTGGGGATGTCAATGTTGAGACTGTAGTGGGAGAAAGAGAGATAAAAGGAGGCGATGAGAGACCGCTGTATTCTAAATTAACCAATTTGATCTTGTGGAGAGAGTATCATATTCTAAGTTGCAAGTCCTAATCAGAGTTGTCATTGGACGATTTGATTTTTTAGAAGTAATCCCTTAGTTTCCTTTTAAATAAAAAACGTTAAAAACCAAGCTAAATTCGTTGAATTTTCTGGCCAGTCTTTCTCAGTTTCATTTGGATCTGTTAGTTTCTTACTGGAGCACTGCTGTGAGAAGAATGTGGAAGAGTAACATCTATTTCACAGTGTAGAGATAGAAGATTGAAATAGAAGAAGAAAGAGAAAAGAGGTAAAGTAACTTGTGAATCATCATTAATGGCTGTTGGCTGACACCAACTACCACTATAGGCTGTTGCCTTGCTAGAAAGTGTGAAACCCCAGGGGTGACAATCATGGGACGAATAATCAAGTGTCTCTTATTTTGTACCTTAGATTGTTGAATCTGGTCCAAGTTCATGCTGGAGCTTTGAGGGTGGGAGTGATATGAAGGTGGAACAACTGAAGGGCCTATAAATTGGACGATCTCATTTGTGGGGATTTCTGCGGAACGTATCTTGGTAGTTACTACTGAAGTAATGGTGGAAACTTGGGTACTGGTTGGTGCTTGGGTTGGGATAGCTCCTATTCTAGCAGATTCAACGCAATACCTCTATAATTTTGGTGGAAACTTTGTCTTCTGCTTGAGTGTTGTGTGCACTTGGTTGGCTACGACTGCATAAGAATCATCCGCTGGGATATTTTTGCACCAAATTTGATGGTTTGTAAATTTAGAGTCCGAAGAACTTGACCTTTGATAGGTTATTGTTTCTGGCTGGCTCCAATCCTCTTCATCCAGTTTAAATTTGGTCGATTGGTTTGAACTAAATTTGGTCAATCCTCTTCATCTTTTGGTATTGACTTGATGGAAACCACTGACACACTCGAGGGACATTCGGGGGATCAGAAACTGAGCTGGTGACTACGGTGGGATGGTTCCATTAGGGTTTCCTGTCGGTTTGGTCTTAACACCCAAGGGGGTGGGGGGGGGAGGGGGATCGGCCTGACATCATGCTAGATGTGAGATGCATGCCTGGAATACTAATTTGACCCTTTGAATTCAATAATTCCAATGAATGGGTTTGAAGTAGACATTTCGAGTGTTTAGATTTAAGATCACCAGACATCGATCACAAGGACCACCCCATGATGTTCTCCTCTTGAACATCCAAGGCACTTGGGTTTGGCCGACAGACCAAGGCCATGGTAAGCAACCGTTGACATAACTAGTCTCTTACTCAGAGGTGCACCTGTATCGACTGAAATAACAAGACTGTGGTGCAGTCAACTTTGTCGCCAAAGATATATAGATTTTTTGAAGAAAGAGGTATTTCAGTTGGCATTTTCAGTGTTCTCCTAGCTAATGAAGCTCCCCAGGGCCTTGAGGAAGTGTTGTGTGGTTGATTGGGATTCTGTTGGACATAGAGCTTGAGGCTCCATTCAGTTCGGATTAAGTAGCAGAAACACGAGTTACATGCTGAATTTAGCTCTCTAGCATCTCCCTAGGCGACATGTAGGTTTTCTGCTAGTTGATTACAAGCCGTACATCTTTCCCATTTTTCTGTTTTCTTCGAATTTTTGACTGGCTTTTTTTGGTTTTAAGTTGACTTATGAGAATGAACGCCTTTGCAGGAACCTGTACTGCTTCAGTCAACAATCTGGTAAACTAGAACATCTCATGAAGGTAAAGAGTGCTCTTTCTTTACCAAGGCAATACCTAATATCTAAATGGCCTGCTATTTTCAGTGAGCTACTTTCAGAGCATGTTTTCTTATCTACTGCTTCAGTCATGTTTTCTTATCATATATGAGCATTAATTATACCCAATAGCATTTGTCTACTGCTTCATGTGTCTGGAATTTCTAATAGCATTTGTTTCTCATAATATATCGCACGATATTCATCACTTTTGTTTTATTTTCTATCTGATGTCTGCCTGTTGCAAGATGATGCTTCCTGAAGAAGTGAACCGTCTTTTTGCCTCATTTGCCTTGATATTTGAGCATTGTAATGAATCAAATACACCCCTTTATGCGCATAATCAGTACCATAATTATAATTTTGCTAGAAAGATGAAGCCCTCGCTTACTTCCACGTCATCTGTTTCACCCTCTCATTGCATAGTGCCACTTCAAGCTACTGTTTGTGTAATGGCACACGCTTTGGCATATTTCTAGTACTTACTAATTGGGGTAAAAACCAGGTTGGGTTTGGTTGGGGTTACAATCTTACATAGCCCGATGGCACCTCGACTAAGGGGGCGGGCTTCTTCCCTGTTGTTGGGGCATCTTTTGTCTTGGCATGACAAATTAGCCGGCGACATATTCTCCTTAATCAAAGGCTGAATCAGTTTTTTTCTTACTTTTTCTATTGATTCTGATCTCGCAGGTTCATGAGAAGGATGTGATTGGGGTCACTCACCATCCCCACAGGAACTTAGTCGTCACATTCGGTGAGGACGGGATGAAAATATGGAAGCCTTGACTTGATCTTGCTTCTGCCTCGCTGTAATCTCCATCACAGGCTTGCATTGTTTATTATTTGCCAAGTAATCCTTCTTTATCTGTTTTTTGATCTCTCCAAGAGGACCCTTCTTCAATCAAAGATGTTTTGATGGATCATTCTGTGATCTTCAGTGAACGATCACGAACATATGCACTAGATTAACTTCCAGTTGCTCCAAATCATACAGCGCATGCTTTCTTGGAAAATATTTTTGGCTTGAAACAACAAGAGAGACCTCAATGAGCGATATCAAGTCACAGAAACTAAGAATATATGAAAAACGGTTTCTTCAGTGATCCAATCTCTCAAAGGTCGTGGCATTTCTGGGCTTACGATGTATGGATTGTGTTATGCCTTGCTTTATTTGTTTCGATCCAATTATATATTACTGGCATCTATCTTGTTGTTGGGTTCCTTACGAAGAGGATGTGGAGTCCTCTTGAGCTCAGTGAGCCTGCTTGAGTCTGTTCTGTTTAATGAGAAGGTGGCAGATTGTGATGTTTGGTGTATTATCCGAAGATGGAATACTTTTATTCATGACCCAAAAATGGTTTATTTTTTTTTGCTTTCCAATCCTTAGTAATAATTCCTCTGAAATATGTGATCCACAAGATCCTGTTCCTATACTTTTTTTGATCATCTGAAATGGATGATATTAAGTAAACACATTCCGACTCCAAATAGTTCCCAAAGGGATCATCTGGTCAATCATGGCGATGTCGTGGTGCTCAAATGATTCTTAGCTCCCCCTAGATTCCATTCTAATGCCATTGTAGATGTTCATGATGTGATATTTTTCTGTTTTTTTTATATTATTTTTATAGAAAATAGATCTCAATTTTTGAGAGCAAAAACTTGGATCAGAAGAGGTTCCTCCTTTGGAAATTTCCCCCGGAATTCAAAAAAGGCAGATGACAGGTGCCCATATACTGATAGCATGAGTGCTCCTTTGGAGTCTATGTAAATTGCTCTTCATTTTATCAAACAAAAATGTGAGAAAATGATTTGGTTACGAAACTGAGATTATACTGATTTTTGACTGTGTACCGGAACTAGATGATCATACATACGCCCAGTCTGGTGCGATTAGTTCTCTATTTCAATTTACTTTAAAAAAATCAACCCTGAAAGGAAATATGTGTACACATACCCCACTGGATTGAGTTCCGGTCGAAGCCAATGATTTCCTCACGATTGATTTGGCAGTCCTATGGTCAAATTCTCTCTCTCTCTCTGTGTGTGTGTGTGTGTGTGTGTTCAAGCTGACCGAGGCTTCACTATACTCCGGCCATAAATGAACCATTCTAATGCATGTAGCCTAGAAAGGCATGTATTGCTATTTAGTAGTCCATTGGATGTTAGGAAGCACTGTTGAGTGTAAGAACCAGTTTCAGAGACGCATAGGACACCAGCACACTTGATTTGGCCACAAGTTCTTGAAAGGGTTACAGAACCGACTTAGAATCAACAAACTGGAATATCACAACGAAATACTAAATATGTGATTTGAAGCTGTAACAAGCATTTGTGATTTGAATTATTTATTTCCCGGTGAATAGAAAACAATCAATTGTTTCAGGCTATTTAAGCTTTGGTAGGTGGCTAGAATCCACATTTTCTCATACATAAGATCTGGATTAGGGGGGTTTATGGCTCAAGTGCTTGAGGTTCCTCGATTGGTGAAAAATAAGAGCATGAAAGAACAAGAACGTTGATGAACCCAATATCCAAACTTAGAACTCATTTGAACGCATGTGATATGTTTTGAGCATGCAGCCATTGAATAACTACTGCAATGAAGCTACTGGCTGGGTATAAATTATCCTCTCTTTCCACAACTCACAGAGAGATTCCATAAGCGTGTGCCTGCTCTGTTCTACTGTGATCTGATCTTCTCCCCAAAAGCTGCTTCCACACAAAATGCATTCGCATTAAACCCAAATTTTTTGAGCTTTCTTACTTTTGAATCCTGTTTACAAAACCGTGGTCTTATCTGGTCGAAGATGGTCTGATCTGAGCTTCATCTAAGAACTAAGCTTTGAATAAAGGCTTTCTCAACATGATTTTAATTGGTATGTTGATAACTATACACATCAAATTACTTAACAGAGTGAGAAGGGGCAACCTTACTGTTCAGTTGCTTATGAAATCAGCAGTTTTAGTCTTCATGTCAGTTGACAGGAGAACTCAGCTGACTGCCAATTTGTCGCCCAACTGTTTATGGTAAACCTTGATTAAGCCAGTATCATCGGCAGTCTGAAGCTTTTTGCTCAATACGGTTCTGTAGTGGTCATCCTTGTCTTCCAAGCTACTTAAAAGTTTTACCTGAGAAGCATCCAAGAAAGAATAGCATGAGTATGTGGAGGTCAAAGGCCGAAATAGAAGGCTAACATTTTCAGAACAGTTGACACAATTGGTATAATCATGTCAATCAAACAACTTGGACGGATTCTTATACAGAGATTCAGTCATACTCTTATGGATTGAGGGATCCAGCAGGCCAGAAGCCAGCACAAAGATTCAGTCATAGTCTGTCATAGATAGTAATATTTTTCTGGGCATTAACTTCGTGATACGCAGGCAATAAATTATCAGTTTTCAGACAAGATTCACGCGGAAATGCAATGAAAATTCCATATAGTATGTTTACTTGCTACAAACTTTGAACTTCACCTGTCTCTGAAATGAGTCGAATTCATTGGAACTCAGTGACCCATCCCCGTTAGCATCCAACAGTTGCATGAGTTCCTGAGCATCGTCTCCTGTTGCTCCAAGCCCTTTCATCACATCTGTAAGCTCCTCTATGCTGATCCTACCATCACCATTTGTATCAAGAAGATGAAACATTCGATCTTTTTTCTCAGCCTCAGCCTCAGCCTCGACTCCAACAGTCTCTTTCAGATCAGCAGGATCTCTAAGGCGTAGGGCTGCGAGTTCAGCTGCAGCCATCATTATGGCTTTCAATCGCTTTGCCTGAATGATAGCAAACAAAAGTCAAAGCTTAAAGTCGGGGGATCATATGTGCAAAACGTAAGCCGAAGAAACATGTGCCTACATGGTAGTGTTTCTCAATCATTGTACGGGTCATAATCATACACATATATAGAAGAGAAAACAGGGAGATGGGACATTGACTTTCCCCATTTCGGATGTAATTAACTACAGAATGCTGTTTTTTTTTTTCAACTATTAGCAGAACAGGAGGTAGAAGCACACAGAATCATCTAAAGACTGTTGAGACTGTTCCTTGTCATACAGATGTTTTACAGCATATCTACAATCACTAATGAAAATAACAAACTCGTGGAGAAATCATTAAAAAAAAAGAAGAGGGCCAGGCCCGGAAGATCATACCTCAGAAGGATCCGTGAGGCCACCCTTGTACAATGAATGGGAGGCAGATCCACCGGTGGCCAGTGTGTCCATTTCTTTAGTACGGATCTGAACCTCCATCAGTGGCCTGGGCTTGTCATCATCACTGATATCAACAGCCACATGTAAGCTCCTGTACCCATTTGGCTTGGGTCTGGCTATGTAATCTTTCGTCCTGGATGGGATTTCATGCCACAAGGACCTGATTATTTCGTGCGTTCTGTAGCACGCTCGACGACCTCTTTCGAGCATATTATCCCCAGGCCTTGGACTCAAAACGACCCGTAAGCCCAGAATGTCATTCACATCCTCAGGTCTGCGGCCGTCCTTCAGCAGCTTCTTCATGGTGCTGAAGCGACTCTTACGCCGACCTTTGATTGCAATGTCGTCGACCAAACTCGACAGCTCCTGATCTCTGATCAGAGCCTCAAGCAAATCCTCCCTGTAGGTGTTTATGGAGGATCTTCCCACCTCATGGCTCAGCCATTCATCCACAGAATGGTAAGAATGGGGGAACAAATGCTGGAAGGAGAGGTCCTCCAGCTCCAGTGATAAGGCAGTGGCGCCTATGGCGTGCGCTAAGGGAGCATATATCCTCATCACCTCGAGAGAGAGCCTCTGCTGGTGGTACCTGGAGAGGTAGCTCAGATGCCTCATCCTGTCAAGTTTGAGAGAGAGCTCCAGAATGATTGCCCTGATGTCGTAGTAGGACAAGCAGAACTTCCTCAGAGCAGCTGCACTCTCGTCGTCCAGGGTTTCCACTTTTGAACGGATTTTCCTTATCCTCAAGCTCTCGTACAGCAGATGAGCGATGCCGACGCCAACCTGCTTCTTGACCTCGAGCAAGCTTATTGCGCGCACCTCCAACAGCACCCTCATCATGCCTGCAGAGATGACTTCTGCATCCATCTGCAAATTCAAAGGAACGAACGAACGCGTGATGGAGTAACATCGCGGAGAAGTTATAAATCTGTTCCAAATGTTCTTCACGGGAATGATTGATCAGAGTGGGGGGTTGGGGAGGGGGGGGGGCATCTAATCTGTAGATGAATCGGAAAAATCAGCTGAAACCACGGGGCATGGAATGCGCCAGGAATTTTATTTCAAGAGTGATTCTGACGAACATAAATCTTATACTGAAAAAGAAGAGATGGGATGAAGACCGGAAAGTATACCTGGAGATCGGCGAGGGTGCAGGCAATGGCGAGGGCCCTGGAGAGCGGAGGTCGTCCGTCTGGCCCCACAGGCATCCTCCGGAGGAGAGGTATCGACAGCGTAAGGGATCTGAAGAGGAGCTGAGTGGAGCACGTGGAGAGGGCCGTCGTCCCCATCCGCTCCGTCAGCTCATTGAATACCCCCACCAGTTCCGCCACCATCTTCCCTCCTGGCTGCCCCACCAGCACCGTTACCTTGTCCGAGGTGCTCGGCAGCGAGGAAAGCGATCGATCGAGGGGGATCGCAGCATCGGATCGTACTCCGGCGACTCTCCGCCGGGGAAGATGACGACGGGGAATCGGACGGAAGCGAATCAGGAAAGGAATTCTCGAAGCCCTAGCTGTGGAGGAGTGAGGGGGGTCGAGGGGAGCACAGCGAGCAAGGTGGCCGGAAATCGCCATCGCCGAGGGAGAGGATCTCTCAGACTCGCCTGGCGGCGCCGCCGTCCCTCCTCTTCCCACTGACGGCGGCCCCCGCCCTCTTTGAGTGATCTGAATCTCTCAGCGACTGTTGGCCAGGGATGCGCCACGTAGGATGAGCATTTTTTTATAGTTTTGACTTCGTTCCGAGGCCAACGAGAATTTTGATTGAAACCCATATAAATATTTTTTTGAGCTTTGTTCTATAGTTTGGCTTTGTTCCGGGCTTATCGAAAATTTTGGTTGTACCACAAATAAATATTTTGTTGAACCTTTTTTTTATAATTTTGGCTTTGCTCCGGGCCTATGAAAAATTTGGTCGGACGTTAGAATAAATATTTTGTTAAGCCTCTTTTTATAGTTTTTACTTTGTTTTGGGGCCCAACGAAAATTTTGGTTGAAGCTCAAATTAATATTTTTTAAGGCTTTTTTATAGTTTTAGCTTTTTTCTAGGGCCCAATAAATTTTTTGGCTGAATCTCAAATAAATAGTTTGTTAAGCTTTTTCTTATAGTTTTGGTTTTTTCCTGGGGCCCAACGAAAATTTTGGTTGGACCTCAAAATAATATTTTGTTAATCCTTTTTGAATAATTTTGGCTTTGTTTAGTTCGACAAGAATTTGTTCCGGGGCCAAATGAAAATTTTGGTCGAATCTCAAGTAACTATTTTGTTGAACCTTTTTTTATAATTTTCCCTTTTTAACGAAGATTGTGATCGGATCTCAAATAAATATCTTATGAAACCCTTTTTTTATGGTTTTGGCTTTGTTCCGGGGTGGTCTATTCCCAAATAAATGTTTTATTGGGCCTATTTTCCGAGGCCCAATGAAAAAGTGGGCTGCGCCCATGTAACACCCCTCATTCCGTACAAGGTCAAAGGGTAATTTTTAGGAAATCTACCACTTAGAAACCCTAAACAGTAATTAGTGTCACGGCATTCAAGAGAATAGCGGTCAACCTAATAGAACCATCAATTTTTACTCCAAATATCTTGATCTTCTGAATATTTTATTTATTTTTTTAATTTCTTTTTGTGAGGAGATGAAGGTTTAAGAACTAGTGGGCCCCACCAAGTATGTGGATCATAAATACGGTGTGAAAGTAACTTGAGATCCATCAATGAAAAATATAGCTAAAAAATACATGCATTTTTGACTCTTTTTTTTTTTTTTTTAACGCAGACAAAGATTACCTTTCAAGAACCCAAGAAACTAAAATTATTAAAATACATGTGAGAGAAATGAAAGGTCGTAATGAAGTGATGGGAGCATTTAATCAGATGAGTAATCCATGAAACCTTTTAAAAAAACCATTCAGCGAAAAATAACTCTCTCTCTCTCTTTCTCTCTCACTCTCTAAGAAACCGACACTTCATCTCACATCAAGAAAAGCTCTACCTCTGCCCTTTGTTTTATCCTTCTTCGGGTGAGGCTTTGGGACGCGACCACGTTTGAAGATGAATCAGATTCGCGAGAAGAATTCCCTCTCTCTCTCTCTCTCTCTCTTTTTCTCGATAGCGTTTCTGCAGATAGATTAGATTATAGGAAAGCCGCCGTCAACCCTGCTGGGGGGGGGGGGGTTACACTACCGCAGTGAAGAAGGTAAGGTAGGTAGCTGAGGGGAGGCCTTTGAGGATGATTTGAATAGGCTCCGCTCCGCTCCGCCTCCTCTCCGCTCCGCCTCCGCTCGCATTGAAGAAGAAGGCGGCTGCTGATCTTCGCAAAAGAACGACCTCGCTGGCTGAATAATAATCCCCCCAGATCGGGCAGCCGCGCGGAGAGCTGGGGGTGGGTGGGCGGAAGGCTCTTGAAACCCTTCTTCCTCTGGGCGGGCGGGCGGGCGGGCTCTGCAGCATCATGCTCACCAGAATTGGAAACCCCCAGGAGGAGGAGCTAGCTTTCCACTTACTCTGGTGGGGGGGCCTTGCGGTTAGCTCCCTGGGAGCGCTGCATCTGGGACTGCAGAGAGTACTGTCTCTGCAGGTCCTTGAGCCTCTCTATCAGCTCCTGGAATGTTGGGCGGAGGTTTGGCTCGCTGTTTTCAGATTAATTAATTAACAGCTAAACAGACCTACAAAGGGAAACCTACATGAAATAAGCTAAATTTAGCTAAATTTCTTCCGACAAGCAAGTGAGGAATTAACAAATAACTAGTATTTTTTAACTAGTTCACTACTTAATTATGGAAAATGGGGGAGGGATTAGGTTCGGGCCAGTATTTACAGATAATAATCAGCATGACAGATTGAAGAAAAACACAAACCGCATTCTATGTTCAGTAAATTTTCTTCGAGCAAATAGGTGAGGAATAGTAAACTAATTAGAACAGATAAACAAGGGACGGGATCATGTTCCGATCACTGTTTTAAGATGAATATTTGGATGAGGGACGGGATGGAAAACATGGAAATGGAGGAAATCTTCTAAGATTCATCAGCTTTTTTTTGAGCGAATGGGGCGAGGAATTATTGATTATGCAACCAATTCATTAGTAAGGTATTAATTAAATCAATAAGGCAATTTGAGCAGATGAGAGCGGGGATGGGACCTGTGCCAGCAGCTGCTGATGATTGATACCCATTGTGGGTCGAGATCCTCGGGGAGCTCCAGCCGTTGGTTCATGAATCCCACGGCTCCAATGACCTTTAACGCGGCATTTAAAGAATAACAACAAACACAGAGAGAGCGTAAAAAATAGGCGCATAGGAGAATAACATAGGTAAAAACAGAGGAAACCCACCTGCATTGAATTGAGATTATCCCAAGGGATCTTCTCGGTGACCAGCTCCCATAATACTACCCCATAACTGTACACATCGGACCTATTTTGTCCACACAATAACAGGCTTGGAATAATTAGAAAGCTAAGAAGGGCATCTGGATTTTATCTCAAAAAAGAAAAAAAAGGAAAAAAAAAAGGAAGAGTGCTGCGTATACTTCTCATCGGCATGCTCATTGCGAAGAACTTCAGGAGCCATCCACTGGGGCTACAGCACCAAAAAAGATAAATAAATTAAAAAAAATAGAAAAGGCAGCAGCAACAATTGAATTAATTTCGTCAAGAGCGGAATGGTTGTTGTAATTACCGTTCCTTTTCCCGTGTTTGATGTCAAATATGTCTCGTGCTTCAGACGCGAGAGTCCAAAGTCACCAACCTGCCAATCAAATGAATTTCTCCTTGTTTTGTGTTATTTTTTGAAACGCTGTAATAAGTGGCAGCTCCTTGTCGAAGAATTACTAAACCCACCTTGACAGTCCAATTCTTGTCCACTAAAAGATTTGAAGATTTCAAATCACGGTGGAAAATGGGCGGGTTGCAGTGGTGAAGATAATTCACCCCTCTGGCCTACAGGCGAAGAAGGCAGATCATCATACTCAATCATTCTGAATATGTCAAAGTTGAAAATTATGCTCACAATATCCAGAGCCATATGAACACGGCGTCGCCAATCCAGCCTAGTTGTCGCACGTTGAAGAAGTCGAAATAAACTACCACTGCATGGGGGAGAAAAGTGAAAAAGCCAAAAAGAAAGTACTCAAACACATTGAGAATAATAAATAAATTATTTTTCTCTTGAGATTCCAGTTAAATGTTTTGCAAACGGAAGTTGTTGGATCTGAAAAATACGATTTTTTTTTTCCTTAAAATGTAGTCAGCAATGAGAGAAGATCTCCCTTCTCTTTTCCACTCACAATGTGGCAGAAATCGTCAAAAAAACTAATTAATTATAATTATAAAAAATAAAATTATTAGATATAGGCAAAGATCATCACAGTCCAATACATCTCAAATAAAACAACCATGAACTATATATATTACATACTCCAATTTATGGCTAACAGAATCAGGTGATTCCAAGTGGATCTAGGGAGCCCAATAGTTAGAATAAGAGAAAAAGTTAATACATGCACAGATCATCTTGGTCCAACTTTCCTCAAATGAAGTCCTGAACTATGTTATATACAGAAGAGCATGGCTAGCAGAATAAGCTGATTGGTTGATAAAGGCAAATATCATTCAGCCCATTCCCTCTCAAATAAAATGCCCTGGAAACCATCAGGATAAACCAAGGCCACAATGTCCAATTTGCTATTAAGATCATAGCAAGGAGGGGTTCTTACAAAATGGGAGCTATATTCAGGCTAAATTAATGCCTAGATGGGTAAGCATTTATGAGAGCATTAATAAGAGCATGGCGCACACCCAAGCAATCTGAGAGACAATAGCAAAATAAAATCGTTGTCAGACGGAAAATTTCAGAGCGAGGCAGAAGTGGGGCAAACCGTGGCAAAAACTCTGTAATGATGCAGAGACGTTGAGGAGAGGTGACTGAGCCCATGAAAAGAAGTATATTTGGATGCCGCAGTCTCTTCATAAGGGATACCTGAGATAATATAAAGTAAATTTTAATACATCATAATAGAAAGATCAACTCACAACGGAGATCACGTACGAGATGGCTTCTAACCTAAAAAAATATGGCAAGAATGGCCTTAAAACAAACACCAATCAACAAAAGGGGAGATTATTAAAAATATTTAAAAGTTGACCCAGCATAGAAAGGTCAATGTTCAAGGCTACGCAGCGAAACATGCGTGTAACTCTGTTCTACATCAATCTACAAGGACTGACCCTCGAGTTCACAACAATAAGAAGAAAAACCTCCAATTAAGTCACCCTTCCAAAATAACAAACAAAGAGAAAATAAAGAAATTCTCAGGAGAAGTCACAATCTGCGGGTGTAATAGGAATTAACAAGCACCCCAGATGTGACGAAGGATGCATCAGATTTTTTATCTCCAAATCACAAGGAAAGTATCCAAAGGACTCTTAGTTTGACTTAGAACCAAACGTTGAGTTAGTATCCGAAGAATCTATCTCTAGATCAATAGAAAAGAAATTTACAAGATTTGAACATAACTTGTTACAGAGAGATTTGAAGGTATCTAGCTTCAGATCACTAGAAATGAAATGCAAGAACATCGAGTCAGGTTCCTAGTCAAGTCGCTAATGTGACAGATGTCTGACTGTATGAACAATTGTATAAATCATAGTAGAAGAATTGTTGACACTTCTGAGGTTTTGGATCAAACTTATAATTAATGTTACAAAAAAACTACTCCAACGAAAAGTTTTTATCCTACAATAAAGGTGTTGATGCCGTTAATGCCTCCCAATTCTCAGTTTACAGTATACCTAGTGATTGGTTCGTGTATTTTGCATGGAATTGAGTTAGGTAAGTACATGTTCTTTGCACAGTCGATGATAACAGGCTGTTTAGGAAGCCATGGCCAACTGAAAAGGATGCACAGAATAGAAACTACAAATGATGGTATCCTGCACAGAATCCTATCACTTAAATGCATAGAAACGCACTGTTTCTAGCGAAGCAGATAGGATCAAATCCCTTGTACAGATGAGAGAGAAAAGGAGAAATTTCTAGCAAGAAGCTAGAAAGTAGAACACCGAAGTCTGTTAATATAAAAGATTCCTTCTGGTCTCAATCCTTTTCAAAAAAATAATCTTCATAATAACCCATATCCACAGCTTTTGCACAGCTGATAACAGACTAGCAGCTTTGCTAAATATAGCCAGTAAATTCTGCAAAAAATTAAAAAAAAACCTAAGAAAGAAATGACCATAGGGCCTGCTATCACTAGCATATCTCCGAAACTTCTCTCTGAAAATGGATAATACCAGCTATTCATTATCTTTTAATGATAAAAGTTCATGTAAGTGTGGATAAGGCCTCTGTAAAACGTCTATTTAGTCCATAACAAGAACCCCAAATTTAGAAGGGATTCTACAAAAAACTTCTGTACCTGAAAGACGGAGAGGAAGCCCAGTCATCCAACACCAGGGTGGGGGTCACCACAGAAACACTTAAAACTTTAGAGTTCCTGGTAGAAAAAGACGAATTGCCCCTTACAAAGAAGCATCTAAAATTTTGGGATACCAGTCTTCATTGAGGTTTAACATTCTCAACTGGATTGAAACCATTCCCCAGTTCCTTAACCGAGGCTTCTCTTTCTACATCCAAATTTCTATCAGAGAACTCTTACAGAGGTACCCCAAAGTTTTCATCTTCAGCGGAAATCTCCTCAACTGCATACCCTCACAAATCCTTATGCCACATGTTGGACCGAAGTGATATTACCCCAGCAACATCATCCACTCACCCAAGTTTAGGCAGTGAATAACGCCATGGGATAAAGCATGCCCATCAGAATTTAGGATCCTCATGTTCTCTAATATCTAATAAGCTGGCAGCAACTTTAAAATTCAGACAAGTCTCTGAACAATCCAGTTATGGATTGTTGTACGGCTGCACTTTCTTCACAGAGATTACTGAAGTCAGTAAAGGCAACGAATACATGGGAAAACTGTAAATAGAATACCACAAGACTTTCAAGGACCAGGGTCGTGTTATCTTCTCAGAATCTAGCTGAACGTCATTCTCCTGCTTTTATTCACCATTAATTTCAATGAGCAGAAACTGTGACTTCACAATCTTCTTACTCAACCAAAAGAGATATGAACCCTTCCCGAATCGATAGTCATAGAGCAAAATTGAATAATTTGTTATATCTGTGCATGGAAATATCACAGTTGATAGTTTTTGATGAGAGATAAACAGAAAGGATTTATAATTTTATCAACCGTTTCGTGAGTGAACTTTACGCATGTTCTCTGCAATGAATGAAAAGAGAACAAGAAATTGCCTTTAACAGTCACATTGATTTGATGATTGAAAGCCATCGAGGGATTTACCTCTTGTTTAAAGGAATTTATGACGTCCTCTGAGTATTCTTGCTTGGAAAATACCTTGACTGCTACATCCTGTAATAAATTGAGTACATTAATATATGGTGGAAGTAGTATAATACGGATTAACAGGATTGAATTGCCAAGTAGCTACATTTCCAAGGTAAATAAAAAAACCAGACAGAGGAATGCACACATACGTCAGATGGATCCCATTTGGAAATTTCTGTACGCTCTAATTTGATTGCTTCGCTTTCTCAGGACTACTGTCGTTTGAACAGAACGAAGTTTATGTTCCTTACCTTTAATAAGTGAAACTTTAGAGTTTTGGAACCTAAAATGTGTGTCCTACCTACAGTGTTCTGGTTTCCTGAAAGCGTTTTTATGATGAGATATGCCAAAGTATATGGTCCGTAGCCTGTTTTGTTTTAAAGGCATGGAGTAGATGAAGCTAGGTAATGCCAAATAACTCAAATGAGTTAAATACTTCACGTTGTCCATGCAAACAATTGTGGTCCCATTTTTTTTCAGGTTCATAGTGACAAAAATGACATATATTTTAAAATAATAGAAGAGAATAATCCAAATTAATAGGATTCAGCTATTGATAAATAAAAAGCTAGTAATAGGTTGAGGAAACCAATTCTTTAAAAGACTAGACAAAATTACGCATTCTGAATTGATTAATGAAAATAACCGTGCGTTGTTCAGCATAAAATTCAAGGATTCAGCTAAGGGTCCATTTTTATGTAAAAATTTGCTTCGTTGTTTAAGAAGATTGCAGAATAACATAAAATTTAACTACTAGATAATGGCGAATGCAACGTCACAATCATGGTCGTTGCAATTAAAAATAAACTAATAAATAGAAATTTGGAAAATAAAAATGAGAGGAATGAAGAGTCTACAGAGTACATAATAAATTTTTCCATGTGATAGAATCCTCCAGCAATAATGAAAAACTGAAAACATGAGAAAAAGAAAACATACCGAGCCATACCACAGAGCATGGTACACAGTTCCACAAGAACCTGAACAGATATAAAACAAAGGATTAGTTGAGGAAGGATACAATCAATTTGTAGCAAAAAAAAAAAAACCACTGGTGTTATGGCATATCAACATCGAAATTTCAATTTAGTTAAGATGGTAGATCACAAATTGTAGTCTGAAAACGAAGACCAGATCGGTGAATTTTCAGAACATAATGAGAAGACAATGCTTTTAGGGTAAGGAACTAATTCAGCGACAGTGTTATTAGGATGTGAAGGCCAAAAGTTCCTCTTGCACTATAACAAATAACAGTCAAAGTTACCGAAAATAAATAACTTTATCCACAAAAGAAACCCAATAACTTTCAATTTGAATTGGATTGCCCAATAACTTTTACAAGAATAAAGTGGCATTCTGGTGCTTTTTACAATAAGGACGCAAAAAGTTTTGTTTCAACCCTTACATTCCTTGATCAACTATAATGTCGTCCAAATTAGCTACGGTATAAAATTTGATGTTTAATATACTACGGCTATATATACTTCAGGTGACAGAGCTCCACAATTCTAGCTCATACAATTGGCTACTTAACCACTGCTTTCAATACATCAATTTAACGTTATCATCATCAGCACCTGCACCATACAATCGGACACATAATCCCTATGTCAATACGTCAGCATGCTAACATTGTTGGCATCATAACCATGGCCTTTTGAATCAAGCAAAGATCTAGCCTGGATTACCAAGGATGATAAGCTAAATAGATCAATTCATTGGAAATTATCAGTCAAGCTATAAAATGAAAGATTTATTTTCCAGTTTTAAGTCCATTTATAGGCACAGTTAACATAAAAGGGTTGTAACAATAATGGAGTTTTAAATTAAAAAAATACTATAAATCACAATGCACTTGCTGCCTGATACTTCATATGCCAATAATGCACATCTATGCAAATAATACCTGCTTTTAAACCAACATTAAGCACTTTATTCCCATCTTGACGTGACAATTACCATACAAGTATCAGTCATTCTAGGTGATATTTTCGCAGAAAGAGACATCTCCTGTACCTTGAAATAATGGTCATATGCTTTGGAAAGTTTCATGATCTTGTTTTCCTTTTCAGGTTGTATAGTCACTTGATGAAACAAGACATGTCCTAACTTTTTTTTCAAAGTGACATATTTCATGCCTATTTTTGACAAGCAATAACAAGTGATTTTAACATAATCTTTTGCTTTTCCTGTAGCTTTCCATGATCACGAACAACATCTAAGGACAAACTTTAGTAATAATGTGTCAATGCTCAGTTTATTAATTAAGGCTTCAAACAAGAAACTGTAAGTTGCAACTACAGCTGACTAGCATTACATCAAACGCAACAAAAGAGAGATTAGGACTGTTTGGCTTGACGCCCAAATGCCCAGTCCTCCGTGTCTTATCTGTTAGGTGATGCATAAAAGGCCCCATGAAAGCAAAGCGTAAACCAACACTGGATATAGAAAGGTACATAGCATTACTCATTGCCAGAACCCAATATTGTTTACAAAGAAATCATATAAACAGGTCAGGCAAAGTCAGCTAGACTGTAATTAAAGTCTAGCAAAAACCAAATAAGCGCAATAACTTCAATATATCAATCATTTAAAACGTGACTACCAAAACCAGTGTTAAAATATTTAAATAAAAAGATGACTACCTTGGCCAATCTGTTCACCGATGACTAGATCTTCCCATAGTATTTCGTAGTCCAAGCAGTCAGCCTCTAAATCAAGCTTCTGAACTGCACTGCTGCTTGTACTTCCACTGCTACTGACACTGCTAGTGCTGTTAGCATTAAATGATGACCATGATCCTGTAGCTTCATTGTTTCCCACTCGGGTAGTTTCAGTTGCCTGATTTTCTAGTTTCAAACTTGTTTCAACAGTCTTAGGAAGACAAGAATCATTCTCTTGGTCCTGATGCAACCAGGGCCAGACAAAGCGATTTTTCGTTTCATCTCCATCATGTTCGTGACCTTTCCATGGCCAAACTATACTTTTTTTAGCCATCCACGCCTCTGCCTTCGCACTTATGATTTTATGAATGCCCATCTTTCCTTCTGTTTCTTCACCGTTAAATTTTGTTGCCTTCCTTGGAGACTTCCCCTCTGCAACTGCAGAAGTAACAACAAAAGGACACGGTGGAGCATCTCCTCTGGGAGTGCTAGCTCCACTCGATGCTCCATCATCTCTATGATCCAAAGCAACGACATCAGAGCAGCCATGTTCAGGACGGCTGTCAATGCTTCTTATTTCTCGTTCTGAACCGATGGTGCCTTTTGTCCGTGACCGACCTTTGTTTGTTACCTTAGTTGCCTGTCATTAGAAATTCATAAATTAAAAAAAAAACTGAAAGATCAATGCAAACCTGAAACAAGGTGGTAACATGTGAATCCTCAATCGACGACTAAATGAAAATGCTGCTGAGTGGTTCCAAGAAAATGATGTTTCGAAAGAGAAAAAATCCTAAATTATGGTGCTCCACAGGGTCCTCATTATCAGTGAAGTATGCTAAGAAATTAGCTCACCAAATTTGATAATTTTGACGCAATAGTAGCCTGTACAGGTTGCTGAGAACCAATACTGACTTTACTCGTTAAACTGAACCTAGGCTGACCTGGACCACTATCTCCAGCAGAAAAACTACTTGGTGAGGAAGAACTTAATTCCTGCAGGCATCGAGAATCAATTGACACACAGATTATTCCAATCAAGTTCCCATGATCATCATCATAGAAGGGAGTATTGGTGGCAATTGCTATGAATCGCTCCCCTATCTTGTTCTTAACTGGGAATTTTCCACTCCAGCTTCCCCACTTTAAAACCAGCTTCTCAATATCACTTGCAAGGTTAAAGTTGCATGCATCGACTAGTAATTCAGTCGCTTTCTGACCAAGGGCTTCAGCTGCAGAAAAACCATAAAGAAGTTCTGCTGATCGGTTCCTGCAACAATCAATACCCTATAATAAATGGCCTGTTAAAAGAAAATGACGAAATGAGGGATTTGCAACAAAATCAACAAAAAAGATCAAGAGAAGATTCACCCTACTGGCATGCAAACCGTGTCACAGATAGGAGCTCAATGCATATGAAAAATAGAGAAAGTCATTCTACAAGGCTGAAATCTCCGAAAAATAAACAAGATAGGATCATATCACTCCAAAAATGTCCTTCATCAGAAAGTAGTTCATACAACATTTTATTAATAACAATAAGCAAAGCCTATTGGGTACACACATGCAACCCCTCTGAAAAAGCTTAATAAATGACACCCAACGTACACCATATATAATCTCCACATTCAAAGCTCAAAGGAGGAAAAGCCCCACCCCAAGGCACTGCCAATCCCCAGAACAGAAGAATCCCTGTAAAGAAATCCCAGTGTTGAAGCTCAGTTCGCTCCTCACAGTGTGCCTTGACACCTTCCCCCTGTCCTTAGAACTCTATCAGGGAGCTCTATTTACCCACAATCTACTCCATAGGCCACTGTCCGTTCCACCCTTGAAGACACTAACCAGTCCGCATAGAATCTTTGCTTACATCGCATTACCTACCTCTTGAACATCAACCCAGAAAAGGGCATAGTAGATATCCAAGACATGGAATGAAAAAGGCAACATGCATTCTCGTATCTAGGATTAACCTAGCCGGTCTTTCACATGGCAGTCACAGTTGACGGCCCTCTCCACGGAGATTTTAACATGCAAGTTATCAAGGATATGAATTAATCTCCAAACCATCCTGGCAAAATTGTATATTGCCCAGAAAAATTGTACCAAAGTTTACTACGAATGCTGATAAGTTCATCTGATCTTCATGTGCTCTTTCTCATCTCAAAAACTTAGCAGAAACAACCGGAACATCTCAGTATACATAAGTCTGAAAAGAAATCCAGAAAGGAAATAGAGCCTAAAGTTACTACTCAACCATTGTCCTGTTAAACACATTAAAAGAATTTTCTCCTATTTTCTCCACCAATTCACCTAATATGATGCATGTCATGATTTAAGCCACATTCATTACCAAAAGTGACATTAATTCCCTGAACCCCGGCATGAACCACCAGAAGCCCAATACACACTGAATTATCAAGATATCCCCCAACCTCATCCATCACCTGGTGATTATAACAAAGATTAGACAGAAAGGGATCTTTCTTGTGTTATATGAGAGTAAATATTCAATTGATACATTTCCTACTTTGCAGAAGGCAATCTACCTGTATTGATGAAATAATGACATTACGAAACTTTTGGGTTTCCCTCCTAGTTGCAATCGTTCAGTACAAAGCTGACTGTATGAAGACGTAGGAGATGTAACTTCAGATCTTCCAAATAAACGACAATATGTTCATATCTATATATGTACATTAACCAAGATTCCCCCGTGAAGAGGCAACTGGAGAAGACCTTACGCATGGCAGGATAAGGAGTCAAGAATTGCATCAGTATGATCCCACAAGATAACCACTACTCTCAACAAACTAGACCATAGAGGTCGTGCAGCACGACTAAATTTCTTATTCTTACGAAGACAAAACAGTTTTTGAGAACACACGAAAATATATTATTTCAGTCAATTCACTAGATTGTCCCTTCTTCAGCTCCCAAAATCTCCCTCATCTACAGCTCTGTGACTACATTACTTCCATGACAGACGAAGTCAACCTCCGTGCGTTTCAAATGGTACACAGTCATCTGAGGTTAATCATCAAAAGTATTGTTTCAATTAAAGTTTCTTTCACAAAGTTTCCTTAATATGTAACAGCAGAGAGTGAAATCGCAAGGCAACGAGCGGTCTACAGAAACTGCACAATCCCATAGTTCTTTCCAAAAAAGTTACTCTTTATTATGCACAATATGAATATCATAAAAGAGAGAGTTGCCCAATTCTCTTGTTTTTGTCCGAATGAGACAAGGCAAGATCGATCAACAAAGATATTAATGAAAGCCTGGGATCCCATCTTTATTGTTGCCCTCGCGAAAGCAATTTTTTGAGAAATATACAAATATGGGAAGCATTTCCATCCGGAAATGGGAAGTGGCCTTGCTCCTGGTTTTGCTCTGAAGATGATGAAACTAGATTCACGCCGGCATATTTGGCGCAAGCTTCCGGGCAGTTTGTAACAGAATATGATTTAAGTAAGGAATAAAGTTAAAACCCAGCTACGGAAACATCAACAGTCTGCCTGCATCTGCTGGGGCAAGAGATTATCCCTCTCATCATCTCATGCCTTAGAGGTGGGCAATGACGCCTGAATTCATTCTCTATTGGGAAAAAAAATCGATTGACCCAGAACTGAGGGCGCCGCTTACATTTCTTGAACATTCATTGAGAATACGATGAGGTGTAATGTGATGGAAAGGCGAAAAAGGAAAGAATGGCCGAATTGGGGGACTCACCAGTAGATAATCCTCCCCTCGACATCTGATATGTGAACGGATTGCCCCATGGACTGCAATATTTTGAGATGCTGGGGCTCGGACAAGCCAATACTTCCTCCGACCACCGTCGCTGCTGCCCCGGAAGGGATCAGGTTCCGACTCTCCCTCTGTAGCGGAGAAGAAGAATTCCCAAAATATCCATATCCCCGTCGCGTCGCCAAGCCGCCGTCATTGAGCCCGAGGCTCCTTCTTCTGCCCTGTGGCTCTCTCGAACGCTGGGGCGACGCGGAGAGGGATCTCTGCCGCAGGCGTCGGTCCTCATCGCCGGCAGCGGCGCTACCGGGGATCATCAGCTTCGACATCTCCTGCTTCAGGCGGGCCTGCCCCACCTCCAGCTCCTGGATCTTCTTCATCAGCTCCTCCGACGGCAGGTTCCCTATCACCCCCCCACTACTCCCCCCTGGGTCCATCAGCCTCTTTATCCTTTCACGGGAGCACCAGAAGATGGCTGCAGCTTCGGATAATGGCGGCCCTCATGGAATCTTCAGGTCCTCATCTGGGGATCGGATTGACGAACAGCGAGGGTGGAGGGAACTTTCGACTGTGAGCTCTCTCTCTCTTTCTCTCTCTCTACCCACTTCGCCTGTTGCAGCGTCTGCTGACATCATACTCTCTCTCCTCTGATTAAATAAAATCCTCTCCGTTGTGGTCTGCTTACGTCGTTCCACGAATTGGCGTCAGCGGGGCGGGCCCAGGCCTGGGCTGACCAAGAGAGGCCCCGAAAAATTAACAAACGGGCCGGGCCCTGATCTAACCGAAAACGACCCGTATGGGGCCTCTTTTAAACGGCCCGAATTGCGCTCGGCCCGGAGAAAAGCCCAGAAAAGTGGATTTTCTGACTGGGCCCCACGGACCACAGCCCAACCCCTCCCTAAAACAGAGATAGAGCTACCTTGGTGCATTATGTGCTTCAATATAATATAAAATATAAGATATAATAATTTTTAAATCAAAGGAATTTGTAATAAATATTTCTGCTTACTTCAGCCTAGTGGTTTTTATAATTTACCTAAACATAAAATCTACGGAATACTTCCAAAACCGACCAAAACATGACGTCACCACGTGCATCAACAAGACCTTGAGAACAATCTCTCTCTCTCTCTCACACACTCTCTCTCTCTTCCATTTTATAAGTACCTATTAATTCAACTACTTACCTCTCCCTCCCTCTCTCTCTCATTTGACATGTACATCTTTCAGCTACTTCCCTCTCTCTCTCTCTCTCTCTCTCTCTCTCTCATTTGACATGTACATCTTTCAGCTACTTCCCTCTCTCTCTCACACACACACACTTGATATGTACCCATTTCAGCTACTTCCCTCTCTCGTCCTCTCTCTAAATGTTAACACCTATCTACCTAACTCTATCTCTATCTAAAAGATTCAGAAAATGAGACTGGAAGATGAGAGAAACAGGAATAGATCACCCACCTTCACCTAAACTCTGAGCCACTCAGAGGGGCTGCCCTTAAAAAAAATAAAACACGACTAAAGCAACATCTCCTGACCCTCATCGGAGTAAAACTTCAGCTGAGCTGGGTTTTATTCACTTGTACGGAGTCAGTGGCAGGATGGAGCCCGGCTAACTCTATTTCCCCCTGCCGCTGCCGCTGCCGCTGCCACCACCGCTGCTGCCGCCACTGCCGCTGCTGCCACCGCCACCAGCACCACCAGCACCACCAGCACCACCAGCGGGCGAAGGAGCGACAGGGAGCTCCATGGTGATGTGGAAGCAGCACCTCTCCGACTCCCTGATGTACTGGACCTCGCCGCCCATAAGCTTGAGAATCTTCAGGCAGACGCTCAGGCTGAGGCCTTCCTGGGTCACCCACTGGGAGTTGTGGAACATGTCCTGGACGACCTCCGGTGGGAGGCCGTCTCCTGGGCACGCCATCCTGATGATCCAAGAACACACGAAGAGGATTATTCTCAAATCGATCAGATCGATTGAACAAGTTCCAATTCACCAGAAGTTTGATGACATAAGATAGTGAAGAACATATCATGAACTGAATTAACAGCATTATACAACAATGATGGGGATTAGAACACTGATAATCTATATCTATAAAAACATGGAGATATATACTTAACAAGGAAAAAAATATTGAAAACTAACTACGATGCATAGAATATTGAATTGATAGCATTATTTCGATGAAGATGAGGATCAGAACACTGTTCGTCGATCTAAAAAAGGATGGGCTTTAAGAGGGAAAAAAATAATTGAAAAATACGACGCTTTAAATATTGAATTGAAAGCATTATTTAACACAGATGAGGATTAGAACACTATTAATCTACCTGAATTGGAGGTGGACTGCTTCCATTTCGTCAGAAGGCTGCTTCATGGTCGGCCTGATCTGGATCTCCACCCAGCCCGCCTGGGGCGGCGCATACTGCACAATGTTCAGGAGGAAGTCGGCCAAAACCTGCTGAATCCTGACTTGGTCGCCACAGACGGCCATCACCTTGATTTCCTCTGGAATGTCCCGTATCAGCTGCAGCCCTCTCTCTCTCAGCAAGATCATCACCTGACTGACAACGGCATTAATGATGCCCCCGAGAACGAACTCGCACTCATCCAGCACCAAGGACCTGTCGCAGGAGATTTCCGAGAATAAAGAAATTAGAGGCCAGCGTCTGTGGTGGAATCAAATGGAAAGAAAGAATTAGGAACTAACTTTCTAATCTTTGGCGTTGACCTAATTCGGACTAATTTCCGTTTCTATTTATTCAAAAGGGTGATCAGACAGTGGAGCACAATCTCACTCGTCAGAATCAAATTAGGTCAACTTGAGGTGCTAGACCTGCTGCACTAGTATGCACGCTCAAGAACTGCATCAGTTTGATGCTCGTCCAAGCTGTCCAAGTCAAAACCGACTGGACTGGGCTCATCATCTTGATAATCACAGGCCAATTTCTGTAGTACGCAATACAAGACCATTCCTTGCCACACGTAGAATATAGATGGAGTAATATCAGTCCAAAAAGTACGGACTGGGCTCGTCATGCTGCAGTCGCATTCCTTCTCACCAGCTCCCTCCACCATTAAAACACTTTTCTCGATCTACAAACATCCGGTCTTGATCATGCCGGTGTGGCTCCGTAGGACTATCTATTCATCGTTTCAAATAAAAATTGCAATCCCCTTTTCTCGATTCTGATATCAATTCCCACTCACAACTCCTCTAATTATCCTGGAGATGCAACAATTTGGATTCAGAGACTTCCTGGCTGTGAATTGTTTCACCAAGAGAGAAATTCTTAGTAACCACCCGATTAGTCCGATCCCATCATCTGGCTAATCTTTGCCTGCCCCTGTGGAGAAAAGTTTCGAAGCCATCAGATGACTGTTCATATTTTCCCCACCTCATTTTAGTATCTACCTCCTCTGTCTCCCCTCTAAACACTACTTCCTCCCCTGCTTCTCTTGAAACTACTTCAGCCGGCCCAAATTCAGGGTACCATATCCCCTCAAAGCTGTTAACTTTGGCAGGGAGTTCATTACAAATTTGGCGTCGAAGCACTTACAGAAATAAAAACGGAGCAATTAGATGAGCCAGGCAGGCCAGATCTCAAACACTACATTCAAACCAAAAACATCAAGCATAAAGTCCAGTTAGACAGACTTGGCCAGATCGATGGCTCTAATATTATTGAAAGAACAAGGGATGCTTATGAACTCATGATGGTCTCGACTGAGAACAGAATTTGATTTAAATGTACCCACTTGACCATCCCTCCCCCACCTAAATCTAGACACATAAGTATAAATCTGCATTCAGTGGCACAGAGTGGGGGTTTGGATAAATAAGAGAAACGGAGTTGGGGAAGGCAGAAGTACGCAGAATGGTAGGCAGCAAGAGGCAAAGGCAGGAGGTGGCAGAGGGGGATAGTGAAGATAGAAGAATAGGGCAGCGGTGACAGCCTGTAGAGAGATCCTGATACATAAGCCTCCCTGTATTCCTCTTTCTTTCTTCTTCTCCATCTGAAGGTCACAGAAGCAGTAGCTGCAACGACAGCCTAACCTTTACTTCGTTCTCAATGAAAAGAGCTCACCTCATATGCATGTAAGCATAAGTTGGAGGAAAATTCGCTCATTTGAAGGCCAGCATCAGAAGCAGTAGCTGTAATGACCGCTTGGGTCCCTATAATCTCTGCTCACCATTTCTTCAATCTCCACGAAAGTCAGCTCATCTCATATGCAAGCACAGTTTGCATGAAAACTGGCCCATTTGCATACAAGTCAAGATGATCTATGGCCAATCCAGCTATACCAATTAGGTCCCCTCCTAAATTAAATAGGACCATAGGTTTGCTAATCATACTGATCAGGCCTTTGGAAAACTGAAACACGCTTCTAATGTTTTCCCAGCCACATGAATGCCCTCAGAGCACATGCCATTGAAGGTCAAGGTTCTTGACTTTATACTCAGATATTCAAGGTTCTTGAATCAGGATATTCACATGAACCATGATTGTGTCATAACTATACACAGATAAAGTTATATGGACTTTATAATCGGATTTTGAGGGGACAACAGAACACAATGGCTAAGTTGCACAAAGAATGACACCTAAAAAAGGGAGAGGGGGGAGGGCAACCTTAGAGGATGATTGCTTACAAGTATTTTGAATAAGAAATACAGATAGAAAGGTATGCTGGACAGGGAGAATGATGAGATCAGTGCATCTGAGAACTTCTGACCTAAGAAGTTGGCAACTCAGCAGGGAATGTGCTGATGAATATTTAAAAATGTTTAACGCAGAATATTATTCAGTCCTACTCTTGTTAATTATCATAAAGAAACAGAAGTTGACAATCATACAAGGAAGAAACTTGGAACTCAAAATCAAGCAGAAATAGGGCCTCATTTAAAATCGAAACTTTGTGTAGGACTATTTGCCCCTTACATGCAAACTGACTTTATGCTCCATCACGTAGTCAACATAACTAGGGTGTGGCAATCCAACCAAAACCGAAGGTAAAATCATGCAGCCTATTTATTTGAATAATAACCAATATGAGACTTTTGTTCACAAAATGAAATCAAAGGACTCACCCGTTCTCAATGCTTTCCAAATCAGCTTCTTTCATGATCTTCAACAGCTGCCTCTCACAGGACGCACTTGTCTCCATGAATTGCTTCTGCTCTTCGGACAACTCAGTCATTCTCAGCAGTGAGTTGGTGAACCGGATTCCACTAAGGGGGTTCTTCAGTTCCTGACAGACGTACGCAAGCTCCTTCATCCTTGAGTAGCACTTCTTCTCTTGCTGCCTCTGGATCTCCAGTGCCTGGTGCAGGTCGGGGCTCGCAATCTGCAGGAAACAGAAAGCCCCAATGGACTGCCCGTCTATTGTACTCCTCATGTTTGCTGTTAGGAGAGCCTGAACAAACTTCCCTTCCTTGTCAAAGAACCCAAAGGGGAACTTGTCCGTCTCATGCCCTGCAATGGCATTGTGGAGGACAATCATGAACTTTGTCAGGGCATCTGGGCCCCTCAGCCGGCAGCAGCTTCCAAAGACCTCACCCACCAGCAACTTCCCGACCACGTCCACCCTTGACCAACCTGTGAGCTTCTCCATGGCTGTATTCCACTCCGAGCAGCAGGTGTCCTCGTCTGAGGCAAATATGGGGGGAACCAGGGGGTTCGGGCTGTGAACAATGGCCTTGTAGTCTCCTTGAATTTGGATAAACTTGTCCATGACCACCTTCTGCCCGGTAACATCCTGCCCAATAAAACTAACCCCAACAATTTTGTTCGTGTAATCCCGGCTGGAGCATGCGTTCACAATGATGTAGATGGCACCATCCTGATCCTGTGAGCTGAAGGTCCTCAGCTTCATCTCAATGTTCTTGTCCTCCTCCCCTGAAAAAACCCATCTCCAGTGAATACTACTGCCCCCTTGCCGTAGGTGAAGGCAAGCATCAAGGAAGAACGCAGGAAAATAATTCCAGAACCAAATAGCTCTTTCCTCCCAGAAAAGGTGCTGGAAATTGAAAGTTGTATAAGGAGGTGAAGCAGAGAGAGGAGCTCACCTCTGAGAGCATTGTTCAGAAGCTTGTCAACAATGTCCACAGATTCCTTGAAGACAAGGTCTTTGACCAGGGATTTCCCCATGGCTTCGTGAACTGCGAGGCCAGTCAGCTCAGCCACCTTGGCATTCCAGCCATTGATGAGCCCATTGGAGTCGACTGCGAAGATCGGCACTGTGGCAGTCTCTATCAGCCGCACCATCTCCCTGGCTACGGAGCTGAGCTCATCTATCCCTCTCAGCTCCATGCCACTGCCATCCTGTCCAGAGACAGCAGCTTTTGAGCTGCCAGCAACCATCGAGACATCCCTGAAGGAGTCTCGCAGGATCAGCTGGAGCGAGTGGATGGCGTCCATCTCTGCATTCTCCCACGGCAGGCTCCTGCTCTTCACCACCTCCAGGAACGCCTTGAACGAGGACCGGGGGTGCATCCGCTGCCCGTCGTCCTTGTCGTCCGGGTGGTGCTTGGCGCCGCCCCACTTGATCTCCTTGGCAGTGTGCGACCTGAACCAGAACAGGAAGTCCCTGGAGGTGATGTAGGCCACGGCCATTCCACAGACTGTGTCCCCGAGGGAGGAAGCCCCCGGGTACCCAGCGTCAGCCAGGCTGTCTGTGCTCAACCCGGTGGAGTCCCCATGGGAGGCCAGCAGCCACTCGACGATATCCATGATCTGCTCTTCGGAGGGGGTCATGCCGAGCGGCCAGTACTTGCCCTGGTAGAAGAGGGCGGCTCCGTCACACTTGACGAGGTCCATGATGCTGGGGCTCTGGGTGACAATGCCGCTGGGGGAGTCCCGGAGGAGCATGTCGCAGAGGAGGGTCTGGGTCCGGAGGATGTGCTTCTCGTTCAGCTGGGAGGCCAGCTGGAGCTCCATGTTCAGCTGGAGCCCAAAGGCCTGCATCAGGAACTCGCAGGCGTAGCGCAGGGGGAAAGGGATGCAGCGCGGGGAGGTGTGGTGGCAGACCACCAGCCCCCAGAGCTTCATCTGGCTATGGCTGTGGGTGTGGCCCCTTTCCTCGTCCTCCTCGCCGGAGTTGATAATCACAGCCATCACTAGGGAGGCGATGGAGCCCATGTTGGCCATGTATTGGGCGTGGCACCCGTGGGGGGCTCTCAGCGTCGAGCCCACCAGGCACAGCGGCTGCATCAGGTTGGGGTCATGGATCACCCTCACCGGCGTGGCATGGCAATCTGCGATCATCCGCACCCTGTTCTGCTTGAAGAGGAACCTCGACGCCTGCGGGATGTCGGTGGCGGGGTAATGGAGGCCGATGTAGGGTTCCAGGTCCTCGCGCTTGCTCTCTGCGACCACCTCCCCGTGTTCGTCCTCGTGGAACTTGTAGACCATGACTCTATCATAGCCGGTGAGCTCCCGGACGTGGACGACGACGGTGTCGCAGAGGAGATTGATGTCCCCCCCGGGGAGCGCCTGCAGGCGGGAGATGGCGCGGACAGCGAGCTTCTGCGACTGCACGGCGCCGGCGATGGAGAGGGCGGGGTCCTCCGAGCGGGCGGGCTCCAGGTCGATGACGATCCCCACGTCGATCCGGTGGAGGATCGCGTAGAAGGGCTTCCCGGAGCTCCGGGAATGGACCCAGATGGGGTTCAGCAGGGTGATCTCCCTCGCGTTGGCGGCGCGCCCGAGCAGGACGGCGCTGGAGGGAGTGAAGAGCGTCCTCACGTCGGTACCGACGGTGAGGGGCTCCGCCTTCTTATCCATGGTGGGCACCGACTGCGGGGTGAGATCGAGCATGTCGATGGCGTTCTCGCTGAAGGCGACCACCGAGAATGTGGACTCGTCGATGGCGATGGTGCAGCCGATTGGCTGGATGTATCCCCCTCGCTGGATCCTGGACAGGTAGGCGGTGATCTGCTGCTCGGGGATCTCCTGCGACGGCGGTCGCACGGACTGGGAGTAGTCGAAGGATTTGCCGGACTCGCCAGACTGCTCGAAGACGGCGTGGAGGCGAGCGTCTGCCGTGTACTGCGCGATCGCCTTGCTCACCGATTCCGTCGTCGAGGGCCGGACGTTGCTCCCCCACGAGGACATGGACTGCTGCGACTGAGCTCCTCCTCTGCTACCAGAGGCCATCGGAGAAAGGGAGAGGAGAACTAAAGCAGAGCAAAGGGAAGGAGGAGCCCGCTCCCTCCCTCCTCGTCCTGTTCAGAACCTTCGCTCGGTGTAGGGTTTCTTCTCTGGCTACTGCAACTCCGGCGGCGGCGGCGGTGCGCCGGAGGCGGTGCCGGGAGAGGGGGCGGCGTTCATCTGCAGGGACGGGAGAGAACAAGGGGAGAGGGGGAGGAGGTACGCCGCCGCAACCTGGGGCGGGGGGGAGCGGCGGCGGCGGCGGGGAGGGCACGATCCCCTGCGCACCATCGCCACGCTCGGAGGAGATTAGATGGGGGTAACCGCCGCAGCAACGAGGGGGATATAATAGCTCTTATTGGCCGAGGCGTGAAGTAGCAGAACCGCCATTAGCCATTACAGATCAGGAGAAGGAGATAGATAGCTGGAGAGAGGAGGGAGAGAGAGAGAGAGAGAGAGAGAGAGAGAGACGAAAAGGGACAGAAAACCCCATGGCGAGATATAGAGAGAGAGAGAGAGATAGGAAGAGAGGGAAAGGGACAGAAACCCAATAGACGAGCGAGAGAGAGATAGAGAGATAGAGAGATAGAGAGATAGAGAGATAGAGAGAGAGAGAGGAGAAAAGGGACAAGAAACCCCATAGAGACCTTCGACGAGCCCTATCCCAAGGGTGCCCATTAAATCCGAGCAGACCATCAAGGTCCTTCGTCCTCCCTATGGCGACATAGGTTTCCTCCCTTCCTCGACCAATAACGTCGAGGGGGAGGGACCATGCCAGGCCCAGCGGAGCTCTTCCCAAAAGCAGATGCCCCCCATAGCCCCCACCTCTGGCGAGATCGGACGGACAAAGGCGCCGGGGAATCGACAACTCCGCGAGGCTGCGGCGGCGGTCCCATGGCGTCGCGCAGGCCGGACGGCGAATCTCTGCTGCAGATCTTGCGAAAGCCAATGGCTCCGGAGATCTCTGCGAGATCGGGCTGGAGGCGTCGGCTTTCTCTGACGTCGGACGCGGGGAGGATGAAACCGATCCCTCGCGCTGCCGGAAAAGTGTTTGACCATCTATGCCATTGATCCATGAGTAGGCCTTTTTTTTTTTCCCTAACAATTTTCGGGTAATGTAAACAGATATTCATTAACTCAATTCAGCTGCCTTTTACTACTCACAAGATTACCTCTAGATTTTTCCCCATTTTACTTCAAATATTTCAGGAAGAAACCGAAAATAGAGTTCTAAGTGGGGCACTTGTTCTGGAACTCGCTTTTTTTTTGTTGAAGAAAACAACTGGGTAATGCTCAACTCGTTGGTAAGTTATATGCCTGAGAAAAAAATACTAAAAGGGTAATCATGAACCAAGGTCAACTTCCATTTCTCAATGAAATTTCTTTCAAAAGTTTTTTTTTTGATTTCATGTATGATAAAATTATCTCAATAATTTTCACAGATGGAGCCTTTTTTGTGATAATGGAGATTTTTTAGAGATTTTTTTGTTTCTTTAATTATATGTATATGGAAAGATATTTCCAAAAGTAATTATGTAGAGTATGATATAGGATAAGTGTATGCTAACATCTTACATTTTGGATACTTCTTGAAGCTAAGATAATCTTTGTTTACTCTGTAAAGGATATTTTTTTGGATGTAATTTTTTCATTAATAGACATATTTTTCAATCTTTTCAATTTTACCTTAGTAAAAAAATAAAAATACTAGAAGATAAAATCACCAAATGTTATGGGTGTCAATAGGCAATTCTATTTTCATTAGGCATTTAATTCAAAAATCTAAGAACAATGTTCATACGTCATGAACATGGACCATGATGCCTCCACATCACAGTTTTTATGGGCCTTGATAGGAACTATATTCACATAGACAACATGGGAAGAATCAAAGTCAAATAAAAATCTCGATTAATTAAGACCCTTAAAACGTTGGTGCTAAAAGGTGTTCTTTAATCAAAGAGAAAGGAAAGCCTAAAGGAGAGATGTAGACAAGACACAATAGAGGCGGGTTTGAGGTTGACATGACATGTTTCATCATACAAGTTAGTAGAGCCATCTAAACAAGAAGACTCAATTAAAGTATATGCAATTCTACATAAAATATGCATATTTATATATAGGCCCTTATAAGATAGATTATTAAAAATTAGTTGTAGCATACTTGATCTTCACTCTACTTATACTTCATCACATGAGATTGTAAGAAGGTTCTATTGTTGTTGTCTCTCTATTTTCACCTCTATGACAACCCACAAGGTATACAAGAATGATATATACCTCAAATTAAAAATAATGGAACCATGTGAATAGCACATGGGCTATGCATCATCATTATCGATGACAATTAGAAAAATACTATTTTTAGAATTAAATGACATGGTATATATGTTCATCATGATGGTGCAGACTACTAGGTCACATTGGCATTTGAAGGATTGAGAAACTCTTGATGCAGAACTTAGCACAGTTTTAACTGCCATCAAGTATGACAACAAAGTTGGATTGGACTGCATTATTTTTAGAATTAATTATGAAGATCCATCTATTAGAAGTGGATTTAGACACCCCATGCCATTTGCAATCTTCACACCTATGATGGTCAAACTAGCATATGATTGATTGTACATACATGTATATATATATATATACACACACACATAGTTATATATTATGGCAATGGCTCATAAGGTACGATTAGGGGATGGGCTAGGCTGAAAATATTTTTCTTGAGTCACATGATACTAAGATTTATACATGGTAATTTTTTATGCATTAACTATGCTTAGGTAAATAATTGTTGTGACATCTCATTGTATCTAGTTTCTTCAAGCAAGATAAAGTTTTATGAAAGTTTAAGATTGAAAATGTACACTTATTTGTGTTCTTTTCAATCAGTTCATTTCCTAATTTCTAGGATACTCCAGTGAACAGTTGTCATGAGGACTTGAGTAAGCATGCAAGCATTTGGTCTCGCATGTTGGTTTCAATTGTTGTTTCAATGCTAAGTAATATCTATATGCATACAAACATGTTTTGATAGAAAGGGCATATATTTCTCAATCTATCAAGACAATACACTACAAGGAGAATCACTCCTCAAATTTGAAGTTTCTTTTGTTGACCAATAATCATAAAAAGTAAACAGAAAAAAACATTCATAAATTTATCATCATTGCGCTAATGAATAGATGAAATTTTGAAGCATTAAATCAAAGTCCATTACATTTTTCATTCATTGTGCAAATAAAAGAATGGTCATCAAAGTACATACGTCACCATATAATTGAAATCAGAGTGAAGAAGGTTTTAGAAAGAATAAGTAAACATAGATAATATGTGTCAACTCATAAAAGATATAGGAAGGCAATATATCTACTCATATCTTGAACTAAAACAAAGAAGAGAAAATGTGTTGACCCACCTATCAACTTTGATAAAATTGAAAAAACTATCAAAAGAGAAGAAAATATATTTTCTTGAGATATGTGACACATTAGACATATAAGAAGATTTGACATGTGCTTGTAGATTTTTGACAAATGATGACACATCTTGACATGACATAAGATCAAAGAAAAGTCAAAATACCTCTAGCTGACATATGGGTAGAGCAACTTGATCAAAAGTTGGTCAAATTGACAACCCAATTGTCTAGATTGTTCTATAGATTGGCTTAAATAATTTCGACCAATCAAATCTCAAGTATTTGAGTTCCAATGGTCAAATTTCTAGGCTCTATAATTAGTCATTACAATAGCTTTCAAACAATGCCTCAATGAAATCAAATCCTCTAACATTATCTAAAATCCCTCAAAATTATTCAAACCGTCCACAAATTCATGTAAACTAGTATACTTATCATCATGATTGATTTGCAACTTTCTAAATATCATTTTCTGTGGAGGCATTAAGAAGTGTTACTTGTTGGTGTGGTAAATGCATATTATTTTGGTAATGACGAAATTTATAAGATTAATCAAATGATTGAATTATACTTCATTTCCAGTATTCTTGATATCTCAAATTATGTATAAATGTCATAGTTGCATAATTTGGAGTGCACACAATGAAGTCATAGACAAAAAAGTGAACTCCAATCCACGAAATAATTTGATCTATGGACATCATCTTTTTCTTAAAGATAGAATCAAGGATTATTGTGGTGAGTATTTATTTAATTAAATATGAATTTAGAACTAACTTAAAATTATAATATCAAACATATATTATAAATTTATTGAGTGTATTTATGATCCATTATGTTGAATTTATTTATTTAGTTTTTTTTCTGTGTATTTTTTTATTTTGTAAATTTTACTACTATTTATAGAAAAGGCCATAGTAAAGAAAATATTAATTATGAAATTTAAATAAATACAAAGTTATTAAGTAAAATATGAGTACAAAACTTTACTTAGTCTATTGTGCACCCATTATGTTACATCATTATTTTTCAATGATTTTAATATGGAATCCCAAAAAATAAGATGTCCTAAATATTAACAGATATACTTCAAAAAATATTCGAAATATTTTTAATTACTAATTTCATGATTATAAATATTGATATCATATTTTATTTGAGAAGATTTGGATGTATTTTTATTTTTACATTACCATTCTATTTAGACATACATTATCAATTTTCTTTCAACAAAATTTTCATTTTTTTCTATAAAAAAATTAATGAGAAACTGTAAGGTCTTTCTTGCTGGTCAAATGACATAGGGGCAATGAGTTGAAGAACTATTTTTAAGTGATCAATGATCATCCATGATCAAATCAAAGTGACAACACCTTCCATTTTTAGTAAACTTTCTTATTAGGAGAATAGAATGAAAACTAAATTCAAATCATCATCATATTCATTGAACTCTAGATGCAACTCAAGTCAATGTAATCTTTCAGAAATAATCCATCATGAAACCTTTTCACATTCTTTTTGGGATGATTTTTTAATTAAATCTTCTCTTAATCAGTCAAGAGAGTTGACTCATTAATTA